CTCACTAACCACACATTTGCCAAGGCCCTCACTGCAGACAGACGGACAGACGCCCACCTTCATAGCATCTTTTTCCTACCCCTCGGCGGTGGCTGCCTGTCTAATCAAGAATGCTGCTGTGTGTGAGCATGCATGCGCATATTTTTAATAACATATATGTACGTATGTCACAGATCACAAGCTTTTTGCAAAGGCATTACGGGTGGGCTTCCTGCTGCTCCTTAGAAGAACCAACGATTATTTGCATCAGCGATGAGCCCGGCATCACAGAACAGAAACCATACCCCAAGGCTTCCCAGGTACCTGGAAGCCTTAAAAATGGAGGCCAGAGCAAATACCAAAACTGCAACTGTCCTTGCTGGTTGCTTCTCGAAAGTCTGCAGCTGCCATGCGGAGGCTGTGTAACCTTGGAGTGATGAGAGCAGTACTGAGTACCTGCTGGAAGATGACACTGAACACAACCCATATGTTGTATCTTCTACAGTCATCACTGCTTCACCTACTGACTTTTGCTGAGCATTGAAGATACTGGCCCTATTTTCCATTTTTGCACGGCACCAGCAGAGGCTCCCTTTAGACGTGCCACAGCACCATCTTCACCAAACGGGCAGGAAAAGCACCACAATCACACACACAACACCAGCTCATCCTAGAACTGCACCTACAGCACCATCAAAACCAAGCACGGCTCCTGTGGCTCCAGCACTGCAGACAAGCATCAAATACAGCCCTGGTGTGCTAAGGCGTTCCTTACCTCCACACACCCTACATGTGGCTGTGTAAGAGGATCAGTGAGAGGTGAAAAACATCCAGAAAATTGCAGCTTCTACTTCTCTCTCTCGACAGAGAAAAGGCTCAAATCCAAGTCACCTGCCTCAGCAGAGGACCTGATGTCCTGCTGGACCTACTTGTGTTCAGGATGCACACACTGCTCATCTTGCTTGAAATGACCTGGGAGAAAGAGCAAAATAACAGGAGATTCTGCACGTTTCTTCTACAAAAGAATTGAGAAGTGAGTGAGCAAATCCAAATCAGAGACTATTAGTCTGAAACCCACAGAATTCAGTCTGCATGGTTTTTCATTTACTTGCTGTTTAAAAAATCCAAATCCAAGTCCTTACTAGACCTAACAGTTGTGCCCGCCTTTCCCCTTCACTCCTGATAACTGCCCTGTCCATTTCTGGACATTTTGGGTGGGGATAACATGAAATCAGAGAGTTCTTCCATCAAAAAGGGGTTTGCAAAAGCAAATGAAGGCTGATGGACACTGGGTTATTTCCCTGTTGGCTTCCAGGATGAACACAACCTTGATGCCACAAGGCTTGTGGTCTGTGATCATCCCTCTCAGGCCCACACCACCAAAACTGGACTTTTTGTTAGTAAGCACTCGATGAAATAACAAACTGATGCTCTAAAGCACATGCACGTGTCGGGGCTCTGCTCTCTGCACATCTTCTACACTCTCCCTCACGAATGCAAACAACCTTCGTGCCATGTTACTGGGATCAGAGACTCTGCATTTGCTGGCTTCTTGCACTGGCCCTCTGCAGAAAGCAGAGTCCACGAAACGTTGGCACGCAACCACTGGCAGGCACAGACAAGTGGAACAACAGACTCCAAACAGCCACAACTACATTTTTGTTAACATGCCTTAATCCAGGAGCCCCTACCCCTACCACCTGTATTCCAGCAGCAAGCCTGCACCGAAGTTTAAGTACCATTTCTGATAGGTATTGAAACAAGTCAGTAGCTATGATATCCAAATCAGCATTTTTGTAGCAACCTCACTTATTTTAACAAAAGTCAGAAAGAGAGAGCCTGGACGACTTATTCAGAGGAAAGTCATAATCTTTAACTGTCACTGGCTCTCACAAGTACAGAATGCGAACACAACATTTGAACAGCTGTTTTCTCTAAAATAGCTGAATATTATGGCCCCTTTTTGAGTCTGATTACTATTTGGATGAATTGGTAAGAAACAGCCTTATGTAAAAGATGTAAAAAAAATGTTACTTTTCAGCCATAGACCTGAAAATGTTGTTACAGTACTTGACTGACATGAGATAAATGAAGATAAATGATTTTTTTCCCTCTTTTCTTTTCTTTTTTTTTTTTAATTTTAGAAGCCAGTGTGCTGGCTGGATTGTGACTGCTTTGGTTTGTATTCTTTCTGTAATGTAGTCAAGGAGAGTGAAAGCAAGTTGAATTCAACACAATACGTAATTCTAAATAAACATTTTGCTTGTGTTCAGCCAGCAATGAAAGAAAGTAGGTCCAGAGATTTAAAAAAAACAAAAAAAAACAAAAAAACACCACAGAAAACAATGGAACAAAGCCTGGTCCTACAAAAATGTTGAATTTGGAGCAAACACCATGCAGAATTTTACCACAGTGCAATGCAGGTATTTATTAGTTCTCTTGCTGTTCATAAATCTTTGAGACAAGGACTGGACTTAAAATAAAGTATGTCTTTTTTTTTTTTTAAAGCACCTGAAGCAAATCTGGAGAGTATCTTTTAAAAATATTTTATAATGACAAATCATTCCATTATAATACTTGCCAATACACACTCTGCATGTTATCTATCACAAAAGGGTATTTGCAGAACATAATGAGAAAAGAAGCAAGTTCATTTCTAGTCTGTTCAGGTTTTCCAATCTTGTTCATCAGTGACGTTTCCAACCATTAACCATTTTCCTGTACAGCAGTAAACAACATGACTCACCTCTTTATCTTCTTCTCTTCCTCCCAGAGGGGGAACTGTGGAACGCATTGTTTTGGTCATTTCATATACATGCGCATTGCAACTGTGCTTTTATGCTAGACAAGGCAAAGAAACACATCTTGCAGGTGGAACAGGAGGCTGAGAGTGCTGTATTTAAGCTCTTGGGAGTGCCTTTTGCATTCTGGGATGACCTCTAGGAAAGTCTTGTTTCGCAAACAGGAGCATTATTTTACTGCAGATGCTGCTGTTGGGCCCGAGATACGCAAGCAGTCAAATCTATCACCCCGCAATCTTTTAGCTACCTTGGACCCAGGCCACAGGTCAACTAGAAGTACTAAGGCACTGAACTTACTGTAGAATTTAATGCCAAAGCCAGTGTGAAATGGGAGGAAGTGTTTGATATGATCCTGTTCTATGCTGCTAAATTTCATAAAAGGCAAAGTTTCCAAAGCAAAGTTTAGAATGCTCTATCACTGCAGTGTAAATGAGGGCAGCGTTAGAATGGGGCAGGCTTTAAATTAACCACCCGTGACAGAATGCATTAATTGCAGGTCATAATAGGACTGCATATCAGTAATAAATCAAAGTGTGTTCCTGTGCTTTAGTTGAGCAACCATAAATGGGTATTTCCAAATAGCAGTAGTTGTATCACATTTGTGAATTCATCACACTTTTCTATCAAGAAAACCTATAACCAGGTTCAGCTTCACCCCACCGTTCTTTATCCAACAGGTTCTCTCATCTCGTGTTATTTATAGGAGCTGTTCACATAGTTAGATTTTGTTAGACTTCAGTATAAGCTGCTTGCTGCTAGCTTTCTAACCCATATCCTCCCTTTGGGTCAGTGAGAGAGCACATATGCATGACTCCACGCATCAGATCTAATGATAACAATTATCTTCATTTTACTCCTTTTCCCTCCCTTGCCACTACCACATTCAGAAGACACTGATAGCACAAGGCGAACCACGGCAATTGCTGCAGACATCCAGGAGACCAAATATGAATTTCTGCTTGGCTACTGACAGGAAACCACACATCAGTGCTACTAAATAAAATATATATATATATAAAATACAGTATCTAAGTTTTATGATAAAAGTCCTACTAAGTGTAGAATACTGAACACTACTTTCTGCTACATGTATTAGTAGTTTTCGTTTGGTTAACTTCTCCTTCTTTGCTGAGAATTGAGAGCTGATACCAACACTTGTTGGCTAAAGCTTATTACATACAGAGGGTTTCTTGAACATTAGGCAGACCATGTTTGAAAGCAGAAGGAACTGCTCCTTCTGCAAATGAGGCATTGGCTGTATCCATCTGAAGCAGTACCTAATGTTTCCTAAATTTTAGGCCATGGCGAAAATCCTTGATCCGTGATTCCATTAGGGTATTCACTATTTTCTTGTAGGTCAATACACCGAATTCTGAAGCTGTTTGAGAACTTCTCACACCAATTGTGCTTCCCCTAATTCCTTGTACTTAAAGCAATTTACCATTCTGGAGGGCTCCTTCAGGAGGAATGCAGCAGCTTCAGTAGAAACAATGGAAAGGTTCCTCCAGCCTGAAAGACAATCCCATGACAGATGTTCCAGATATCAATATATTAGCTGCAGCCCCCACTGACACCACTGAGTTTCTGATCACTAGCCACAGAAAAGAAGCAAAATGAAGTATACTCGTGAACAAAGAGTAAAAGCAGACAATTCAAAATGTAACGTATCTAAAAATCAAGTCTGACATACGGTGGTAGCATACCAGATCCTCCATGCATCCTTTAGCAAGCAAGGTTTTATTCTCCTTTAGTGAGTTCAGAATAGTACAGTCCGTAAGACCTTGTTGTATGACGGAGGTAATGTTTCCTCCTGGTTGGGAGCGAAAATGTGAGAGTGAAAGCACAGACTACTTGGTCATGACCAACTACGAGGTCCCCAACTGAAGCTGGAGATTATGCGTGTGATACGACGGGTGTTTATGTTCAACCAAAGGTGAGTATGAAAATCTCGGGATTTTCATCATTGCAAAGAACCAGGGAAGTTGATTGCACGTCGCACAGTATGGCCTTTGTGCAACGCATCTGAGAGCACAGGCACAACTCAGTTGTGGGTGAAGTTTCAAAGACCATTTCAGTGGCCTTGAGATGAATCTACAGTCACAAGGATTGTTCAGTTTCTGCAAAGTACAGATTATGCTAATTCTCATGGCATTGCTTGCTCAAAAGATGCTAAGACTGCCAAAATGTTTGAAAAGAACACAACTGGAAGAAGAGGCGTTATATGCATGAAATAGAACAAGAATCTTTTTTATTCTATACAAAGAATGACTGAGTTTTTACACGTAAATTTTGATGTGCAAACGTAAATAGCATAACTGTTCGTACTGAATCGTATCTGAATTGAGAATTTATCTGAGAAAGTCACTTTAAAAAAAACGCATTCTTCACCTATAATTTTAACTTGGGAAGACTTTTATAAAGGGTGTCTATTTTTAATACAATGCAAGTTTTCACTGTTGAGGAACAGGTGGTTCTGTCTCCGTGCATATTAATTTGCATTATAAAACAATGTCATTTCTTTAGAAGAGGTAAAAGCAGAGCTACAAACTGTCAATTTTCTCTTCTGCTGGGAACAATCACTTTAGAAGGCATATTCACTGTGAGGTACTTATATATGAATCTTCCTGACAAGCATCTCCACTGGAGAAAAAGGGCTGTCAGAAGACCTCCCATTGCCACATACCAGAACAGCTCACGGGGAAGAATCTCCTTCAAAAGGGAGGTAGAACTGTGCCCTCAAAAAACACAGGTGTACACAAAGAGCTAGCCTGGAGAACAGTAAGTACAGTGCAAATTTGCTTTACGTGTGACTTCACCAGTTTTGCAGAAAAGCAGCAATTGTATGGCAGACAGCACTGGAAAAGAGAGCTAGCCCGTTGCTCTATTCTCAATGCCCTACTTCCTCACAGGTTCTCCAAAAAGATAATAAAGAGCAAAAAGAAAAAGATCTCCTTTGTAAATGGCAGAGCACCCTGCCAAGAGAGCCTGCTTCTGCTCCAGCCCAAGTTTCTTAACACAGGAAACACTGCCATATGGTCTCTTTAAACGTGGACATCTCAAGTAGGACATCTCTAAGAACAATCATTTTAAGAAGAAATTGACTGTCACAGTAACTGTATGGCTGTGCAGCCAGTGGAATATTGCTGTTTCTTAAGTGACCTTCAAGGACTTGTGCTTTGAATACGATATAAAGTTCAAATCATGTTTGTTCTGACGGCAGAGCTGTTTCCTAAAGTCTTCCCATTTTTAAACTTGTCAAAGAAGAGATGCAGTTTTATACTTCCATCTTATTCTTTTTTTTTTTCTTCCCCTCTCTAAAATCCTTGGTAAATCATTCAGGCACTACAAGCAGCAGACTTGACATGAAGACAAGATTAAAGAAAATGTCAAGATACTTGCATAAGGGAGAACATTTTCTTCACCAGCAAGTTTCTTACAGCAGCAAAAAAGCAACTACTAAAAGCTAGTAAAGAGACATTCTATGCACAATTGAAAATGCCCAGGATTGAGAGCTCCTCCCTGCTGTGTTTCTTGTGCACTGAGATTTTCTCACATCATTTCAAGTAGAGACTTGGAAAAAGAGAAGCTTCCTTCTCAACTGCTAGCAGTATGAATTCAAATGAACGTTTAAAGCTCACTTTGATTAAATCCATGAACCATGAGAAGTTTAGTGTTGCTTTTTTTTCCAGTTGTTCCACTTTATGTTCTATCTCGCTTAGCAGATGTTGTGAATACAAGAAAGAAAAGGCACATGATTGAAAAGAGAACTACACAGATGTAAGTATTCAAAAAGCCACTGTTGAAAAAACAATATTTTTATGGGTTATAGTTGGTTTGAGGTTGTTTTTTTTTTTTTGCCATATTATCACATTAGATTAATGTTTTATGCATCACCTTTAAAATTTTAAATGATTTGGTTTCTCAGTGACTTGAAAGAGAAGGAAAAATAATTCTGAAGTGTCAGTAATTGTCTGCACCAAAGTTTGCAACAAACAGCACATCAAAGAAGAAAAAGTTACGACACTGCCGAGGCTCCAGAGTGCATTCCATTTTCTGAGGAGGATTTGGCTTGATGCAGGGCAGCTTGAATTCTGAAATGTGTTCTCGTTTCCATGGAGTAATTCTTGTAGTTATGTCTAAAACAAAAGCAGATTCACTCTGATGAATATATATATATTTAAATATTTTCAAGTTATCTTTATATTATTGTTCTAAGCAAAACAACTGTAGACAGCAAAAAGCCTTTTCTTCACAAGCTCCTTTGTTGCCTACTGTAAAATACAAGGCATGTGTTTCTAGCCAAACAATGTAGCTCTTTGTTCTTTATTTGTAGTTCTACTGTCTGGCAATTACCAGAAAAATATAGCTTAATAAGAAATTGAATCTGTTCCACTCAATCAAAATATTGAGTCCATATTAAATATCCATAACATCCACTTAGTTTGCATTCAGAAATTAGGTGTTTTTTTCACTCCCAAAGTATGACTGACAAATTTGAACACATATTTTCATTATTTTTTTCCTCATTTTAATAAGATGAGGAATGTGTGCTAACAGCAAGGATTTAAACATTTTGCAGCAGTGATATGAACTTATTTGGTAAGTATGGTAAGGACAGGAATGAGACTGACAACCACTGATAACTGCTAGGCAATGTAGAATGAACACTGTATTTCTAGATTATTAAAAAGCTGAAAAAATTTGTAATTCAAAGATGAAGTTTTAAATTGCCTACATTTGGTACAGTGGTAAAAAGAAAGATTTATATTTCAGTGATACCTTTTATTCTGAATACCTATAGTTGTCTACAAGCTACTTGCCAAACCACAATAAAAGAATTTAAGAAACATAAGAGAAATAACACCTAGGGAAAAAAAAAAAAAAAAATCCAAGACTTCCAAAGCAACAGAGGTGGGATCTGCTGTTCCCAGGACCACAGGGAAAATGCAGACCTTACCGGGAACCAACATTTCAATTCCTGAATAATGGAAACACAATCTAGATACCAATGAGGACTAGACCATGCTAATATTCTTTTAGTGGATACCATCATCTTCACAGAAACGTTACATCAAGTATTAAGCAGTCCATATATTTTAAAAGCATTTCAGCTCAGAATTCATAATTCAAATCAGTCATGGAGGCAAGCATCTGCCACTGTGGCAGTGTCAGTCTCTGCAAAAACAAGGGACTCCTCACCCATCCTACACCAGCTTAGAATTTTATGTATGCAGTACTCAAGAGGCTGGCTGAGGCGTGGAAATGAATGGGTTGTGCTGCATGCTGATCTGAAACACTTTGGAGATTTTGCTGAAAACTAAGTAGATTTTGTCATGCAGATATTAAAAAATGCCTCTTGTATTTCTCATCAGCAGGCTGATATTCTTGCTTATTGCTTATGGTAATACAAATAGAAATGTTTCCATGCATGATCAAGCCAAAACTGTTTATTATCTCATTCCTACTCCTTCTCTGAGAGTTGAAACATTCAAGCCAGCAGCAATACGTGGATTTAGGTCAAGTAAATCAAGCATCATGCACAAGCAGAGCTCTCATCTCCACTCCTGCCAACAGCAAGCATAATTTTGCAATCCTGAAATCCACCACAGACAATGCCTTCTCCCCCTAGTGGCTGAAAAGACACTCAGTATTTTTATCTGAAGGCTTATAAACCTCTGCATTCTGATCAAGTATATATAATGCTACAGGTGGTAACTTAAAGGTTGTACTTTTTAGTGACGAATTGAAATAAGACAGCCCCCCCCCTCTTTTTTTCCACATTTCCATGAGTTTTTTGAGCATAACAAGCCCGAGTATTAGCCTTTCAAACACCGGGTAACGAGATTTTAAAGAGCTGCTATCTGCTGTGCCCTTCTTTAAGCCAACATCTTCCCTTGAGGGGATCTGAGCCACACAAGCTGCCAGGTGAAAGGTGGGAAGGCTGAGCAGGGACTGGAAGCTGTACCAGACAGAGTGAGAAGCTCAGAAGCAGTAATTTCTAGGCTTCTTTTTAAGATTTGAGCAAAGAAACTGAGGATTTGAGGCAAGGCGTGCTTTGAGGAATGTGAAATTGACTGTAACAATTTCCATTGCGTTTTGCTAATGCAATTTTTGCTATTCCTAATAACTTCCATGAGTCCACAGAGAATCAGGGTCATGAGCACAGGAGATTAAGAGCTGCAATATTTTAATTTTTGTGTTGACAGGCTTTTGGCATCAGCTTCAGCAGACTGATTCACCATTCATACATGTTGGACTGACTTGGACAAAAGCTCAACAGAAAAAACTCTCTGCGACTTCTTTGGAAGTTGGGGCCAGAGATCAGTTTTGTAGCAACACACCTGCAGCAGGGGCTGGTGTGATGCTGTGCACTTGGAAACGTGCAACATCTGGCCTCATTCAGCAGATTTCTGCCTCATGAAGGCAGAGAGGTGAACTGCCCTGGCTGCAGGATGCCTGAGGGAGATGAAGGTTGTTTGGTTTGGACTGCCTTTTTTTTTTTTTTTTTTTTATTCCCTTTCCCCCCCCCCCCCCCCCCCATAGAAATCTTGGCTCAGCAGAGAAGGAAAGACTGGGACAGAGGCAAAATTCTATTTTGTTGATTTTATAATAAAGAACATACATGATCCAGTCCAACTATTCCTGATAAACCTACTTGGATAGAAACATCAATCACAACAAAAATAGCAATGGCAGGTGTTTCAGCTGTCTTTCAGATGCGGACGAAAGAACACAAAGATAAATGAAAACTGAAACATCATCTTCAGTGTATTTCATCAAGGAAAAAAACAGCACTCTTAGCTATCAATCTGAGTAATATTATTTCAGCCCTAACACAGAGCTTTGATTTCATCTAATACATCTTCTATGAATAAATAAATAGACTACAAAGATAATTACATTTAGTTACACATGGATTATTCCTTATGGAAGCCCTTGACATTCATATCAAGATCTTTAAAATTATTTTTGTTCTTATCAGAATGGATTGGTAACTCACAGACTGAACGATCAGATAGTGTCTACTACCTGAAAAGGCCCCAGCCAAAACTAGGGCATGTCTGCTTCTGCTGAATAAAGGAAACAATGAGTTTGTGCGGTATTATCATGTCTACTTCCTACCCATCAGTAAAATAACATACTGACCCGTCAACAAAGACTTTTAAATTGCTTACTTTGCTCTTTCCAGTAGTTTTATTGCTTCTTCTCTTCTATCCTGGTCCAGATACAGTAACGCAAGCTCCAACAATGCATTTGGAATTAGATAATGGTCATATTTTATCTTCTTCTCACTACATTGGAAAAGAGAGAGCCTCAAGATCTTGAAATGATATATTATTTCCTTCATTTAGGAGCTCCAAAAACAAATAAATAGGAGATTAGCTAAGATCAGAAAGAGCAATCAATCTTTATCACAACACCTGTTGTGTTCTCTACCCAAAGCTACCTACCAGGCTATTAAAAGTGTACTTTACATAACTATCCTATACAATATATCTCAGGATTTAAAAAATACTCCCTTTATTATGAGGGAATTATTAGAAAAGGTGACAATATTATGAGCTCTATCTGTATGAACTGAGAAAAAGAAATCCCATTCACTGCACAATGTATAGAATTTCCATTTCGTGCTGCCATCTGTTGCTGTAGACTGCATTTGGTTCTCTGAGCATAGCTTCTTCATGAATGGTGAGAGGAGAAGAGGGAAAAAAGCAGCAGTATCTCAAAAAATTTTATGCATGTATAGCCCACAAAGAAGAAAAAATCTCTTAGTAAAAAGTACAGAATTACACTTCCTCCTTACATGGCTAACAATACTGGCAATCAAAATTGTGATATAGAAACAAATGAAATAAATACTAGAGATACTGTATTCCTCCCCTTTGTATTTGTATTCAGGTTGTAGTTACTTGACAGTTACTGAGAAATTCAAGAGTTCTCCTGCACACCAGGTATGACAACTTACTTTAAGTAGATGTAATTAAAATGGCCTTCTGCCTCTGCAATCTTGCCCAAATGCTTGAGGCATAAACCCTTTAACAGTTTTATCACGCACTGGTCATCTGCTAGCAATTCTGTAGCTGCAAGATGAAGCAAATGGCACATTTTAGAAAACTTTAGAGCACTGGAGACTTTCTTCCTAGCGGAGAAACTTGCACAGGTAGGTGTGAGTAAAATCTCTTTACTGGAACACAAGACAGAAGGAACTGAATGATCCATTAAGTTCATTAAGAGCAGTTTCCTGCTATCACAGACAAACTTGTATCACGAAATACTAGCTAATAGGAATTTCTGCAAAATGTATGATACCACATCTTGAGCTATTGAATTTCAGCTTATCTCTACTACCTTTACCTAGTTCTTCCTCTGCCACCCCAGCTGATAAAATGCTGACACATTCTACATGGAACAGTTGTTCCCCTTTGGACTGTGCTGTTGGAGGTCTTGATCCAATTGCAGTCACTTGTATTGCTAAATCCAAAAGAAACATCTATACATAATGTATCACCAAAGCAAAACTGAGGGAAGATGCCCAAAGACTATACAGCACACTACCTTAGAAGGAACAGGAAAGAGGGCAAAAGGTGACACACTGAGTATGTGCCCGGTCAGATGTCTCAAGGCCACAGAAGAGTTATTTCATAAGAAAAACAAAAAGCAGATCAGTTATCTCTCCTGGACATCTGTTCCATGAACATGTTCATATGCATGCATCTCCTCTCCTTCTAATACAGCCTAAAAACTGCTCCCAACTGCATAAAAAATCCAAAACATTTATAAACCTACCCTAGACACAACTGTGCATATCAGATTTGCATTTCTAGATGTTATTTCCATTAACAGATTAACATCTTATTGGTGTAACACTGTCACGTGGTACTGTTGGTGTGTTTAAAATATATTGCACTTTTCAATTATGTGTCCTCAGAGTGTTCTGCAAACATGAATCAGCTTCCACAAATGCCTGCAATCCACAAATGCCTGCAAAAAGTTAGTCTTGTTCACTATTTACCAACTAAAAAAAAAAAAAAGAATAGTGAAATAATTCACTTGTCCAAAATAAAGTAGCAAAATGTGTGACAAAAAGAGAAACAGTCAAATGACTTCTACTAAGACGTCACTTTCAGTGAAAATATTTTTCTGTCTGTTCTCAAACAATTAAAAAAGAGACAGCTTTAGCCATTTCTTCAAGCAACTCTTTCAACTCTAGAAGAATACTTGTGTAACAATGTGCACAGGAAGACCAGGTCCTAGAAAAGACTGCAATGCAGTGACTTAACCCACATTCCTTTGTCAAGATGGGATTGATCCTTTTGCAGGAAGGTGGTATGTAATAATAAGATCAACTGTTTAGTAAGGGGAGACTTAGTGATTGCAGAGACTGGCTGCACTTCTCCAAGAATTTTGGGAAGATTGGCAAGAAATAAATGGCAATTCAACTTTCTTATGGATGGCTAACTAACAGACTGACAAAAGATGTGGTAGCAAAGCCTGTTCCAGGTCAATATTAACTCCTTTCTTATGCTCCTTTACAGCGCAAAGGAAGCCCATCCCTGATATCTCAGCTTTCAACACACAAATATCACTCAAGTCCACTCCAAGGACACTCCCAATATCACTCCAAGGTCATGTCGTAAAAATTGACAGCACTTTTAGAACAGAAGACTGACAGTCATCTCTTCCTCTTTATCCTTCAAAACTGAAATACGGTATCTAAGGATAACAAAGCTTCATGATCTAAGTAATCGAGTCAATTCATATGCTGATTTTGATCTACCAAAATAAACAGTCCTTAATACATGTCATAAACTATTCCTAATACACATCTGTGGGCGGAAAATAGCTTGCTACTATTGTAAGTTATTGCTATGATAAAAGAGGAAAATTAGTCCTATCTGCGCAAACAGTTTATGGCTTCATAATCTACCTTCCTCCTATGATCAGATTAACTTTCCTAACAAGTGTCTCTCTTTATTCACAGATATTATCTTTAGCTATTGCACCGTAAAATACCTGCTTAAACTATATCACTGATTACCTGGACTTCTTGCCAATGCTTCTTCTGCTTCAATTAAAGTCTCTAACATGCCTTCTGTTAGGTTGGGACATTGTCCAATTACAGCATAGCCATTCCAGATATACATCATTTCCTAAGGTCAGGGAGAGAAGACAGCATTGTTAATTACAGTGCTGGATAAACACAGCTATCAAATACTAGTTATCTCTGTATGATGAAAAAGTTACTGATTCCTTTGCTAAAAACTCAGTTCATCTAAACATATTTTCATTGCAAATGGAAGGTAGCTACATTGTTTGTCAGAACAAATTAGTCCTGGAAAACAACTGAAGAGCCATTTACTGCATTTTGACATTCCGACAAACAGGAACTTCTTTCATAATTCAACTGTTCTTAGGGTAACTTTAACTAAAAACTATTGTTTTAATTCCTGGTTGTTATTAGGGTTCTCCCTTAGAGTACATCACCAGACCAAATGTATTGAAGTGGCAACTGCCAAGAGCAATTGCAAAGCTAATGATGCCAGTTTCTATAGTATTTCCCATTGGTCCTCATGACAAGTTTTTTGTTTTTATGACCTAATCTGAATTTGATAATTTAGAGCTTTTTAAGTTTATGTACAGAATAGCTGTAACAATACAGAAAATAGCTGACTTCTGGAGCTACTGTGCAACAAGATATTGGGCTAGAATAGATGAAATGATGTTAATCACTATTAAATGATGTTAATGTTAACTGGTGTTGAACTTACTGTAGTTCAACAGTTCTAGTGTAAATTTATTACCATGGCTTAGATTCACAAGTACTCAAACTACATTTATTCTAGGCTAAATATTTAAGACTTCTCTCCTCTCAGTAAGTCCCTTCACATTGAAAAGAAAAATCCTAAAATGGGATTCTGCACCCATTCCACATCCTGAGTGCTTTCAGCTGTTCAGCTGCGGCATCTGCTGCCTCAGAAATGCAACTGCAGCAGAAACAAAGACTGCAGTGTCCCTACTACCCCAAGGAAAGCCTTCAGCACAGAAACCTGCTTTGTTAAAATGCCATTAGAATAGCCCAACCAAACTCCAGGTGTGTATATTTATTGACTCTCTACAATTTCTGAAACCTGAAAGGCAAACCAAAAAAATCTCATCATTTCCTCTCATTTCAGGCTCATGACTTGGTTGAAAGTGGCCACCAGTGAATACCCACGCTGTGCTGTACCTTATCTGCAGGAGACTATGTTTGTTCAAGCAGCAGTGTGTCACATAACCAGCTGGTGGGCTGAGAAATGACTACTCACTGGTGTCTCCAAGAGGATCTCCTTGCTCAGGCATTTTCTTAAGGAGTATTTACTAATTATCCATCTGTTTCTCAGATAAAACAGCTCAAGGCACTGCACATGTTAATGCCACTGAACTTAGCAAACCTGTGGAGTCAAAATCTTTTATGTTCTTTTACTTGGTCTTTGCAGACAGATTTTTGTAAGTGCACCATGTGCTAGGCAATGGGGGCCTTATACAGTTGATCTTACCTGGCAACTGGGAACTAGCCAGCACTACAGGCAAAAATAAATAAATAAAAATAACTGTATGCAATAGCTCTCTGGAGTATCTAAAGAGACTTGGCTATGTTTCATCCTACCACCCCGAGCTGCTTTGAAGAGCACCACATTGCAAACATTCAGGGGCACATTAAGGAATCGCTTACACAGAGCCCCCAGTTCTAGCATTGGTTTCTTGATTTTTTTCTTCTCTTTTGTACCTCAAAGTCTTCTTTTAATAGTCTTAGTAACTGACACATGACAGAAGAGACCAAGGGCAAAGTTCCTCAACAGGTAATTAAAAAATACTGATAGGAGCATGCTAGTCCATAGCTAGAATAATGAGTTACACATGCAACACATTTATGTGTCACAAACAACTGGCTTAGTTCCCTGTGGCTGCTGCATGCCCCAGTTTTACAGCATTCCTTGCATTCATTTGGCTTTGTTTTGGGAACATTCCAGTCTCTTGCAGAGGTTTTACCTTAGAAACACGGAAAGATAGTATTCTAATTATTTTGTTTTTGTTTCAATAAATTAAAAAAAATGTAATGGGTAGGGGGCAGGGGGGCAGAATATTTCTAACTTACCAAAGGCGGAACAGGTAAAGGAACAGGGTTTGAAGAAAGATATCGTCGAGCTTTCCGAATGGCAAACTTTTCTGTAGGCAGTGATTTCCCTGCAATTTTCAGTTTCAAGCTGGGAACAATCCTGAAAGTTAAAAAAAAAAGAAAAAAAAAAGTAAGGAAAAAAAGTAAGGAGTTTTTCCTCTATGAATGTCTGGGACAACAATATTCAAACTCTAAAAAAATAAAAATAAAAAAGTCTAAGTGAAGAGAACTTTAAAAAGCTGCTACACACCCAGCTATTGCTGTCTCTAGGGAAGCAGATCAATACATATTCACAAAAGCTGTCTTTATGTAGGACATACATATCTCTTTTAAGCTTCCACTTTAATCAAGCAGCAGAAATAAGGACTCTTCCCCACCCAAATGAATAAATTAGGTGAGGCACCTAACTTATAAATGGCCCATCTTCACAGACTGAGAAAGAGGCAAGCTTGGCTTTTGTCAGTGTTCCTCGCATTCTCCCAAAGACCAAACTGATTCCCTTTGCAATGGATCTCAAATCCAATGAAATCTGCTTTTAATAATTATGTAAGATATGGAAGACCTGAGAAGTATCAATATATTTTAAGCACATTAAAAAGTGATATTGAAATTTTATAGACACATTCTCAGAAAAACAAAGTAATTAATTTTGTTTGGCCCAGCAAAATTTAGGCTTTTTTTGAGCTTGATCATTAGAAATATATTAAATTACTGGGTCAATAATGCAAATATTTACTTGCACATGTAACTCTTTAATATTGGTCCCAGACTCAAAGCCCAAAAATCAAATTGTAATGATTTAGTCTCCATTAGCTGTTACAGGCATCCATCTTGTAACGTAATCCATTAAGGCTTTCAGATCTTACATGCCATTTTGGTCAAAGGAAACAATTGAAAAAGAATGTGAATGGTACATGCAACTACACCAGCTACCGTATGGCTGACAGAACTAATACCTGTCTCTAAAGTATTTCCAGGCCAGTAGAAATCTCCTGTCTGAATTCAGGGTCTTTTTAGTCTAAGGGTAGTGTTTCATTCTTCGATTTCTTACCAATTCCAATGCTATTTGTGCAGATCTTCCAGACTGCACAATGAGTAATTCTGCCTCTTTTCCATATATACCGTGACTAGATATGAAACTGTTGTTAACTGAGAGTTACCAAATTTTACCTAAATAATTCAACTTCGTTGTCTCCAAAAGGACTGCAGTCATCAGGTCCAAACATACTGAGATAAGCAGCTTTCATGTAAATATAGGTAGCCTGCAAATGCAATCAAGAATATCTGTACAGAAAAATGAATTTACAGCATCACCATTATTGATTTAAAGAACAAAACAGTAACAAAGAGGAAGAACTTGCTGCTTTTGCTCACAAATAGAAATAATCTTACGAAATTTTAGTCAGGAGATAAGTATTTAAAAAAATAGGGTATTTTTTTAAAATCTTGAATGCCTTTGTTTTCTTTATCAGCTCATGTTCACATTCCAAGAACAAGCATACAACTATGTATCATGCTTGTATAAAATACGTTTTTGTATTACTCTCATGAATACACACTGGAAACCTTATGAAAAGGTTGGAGAAAAAAAAATAAACAAACCATATGTTTTATGTGTCCAGTCACAACTTAGTAGCATATCTCAAATATTAAGTTCTAGAAAAAGCATAATAGTTTTTAAAAGGTTTCATTATTTCAGATTATGAAATGTACTGACTTCACAGGGACTTGTGAGCAATTATATATTCAGCAACCAAGGAAAGCAAAGCAGCAGAGGACATTGCAATATTTGGAACAGCAGAAAATGACAGTTGTGAGTTCTTGAGCTGTCTTAAAGACTGCTTTAAGGAGTCTACATTAAGCATAAGTTTCAGGAGTTTTCAGTCAAAGCTTAAAATATTTTTCCTATCTATTTATAGCAGAATGTAACAGTCCATTTATGTGGACATTATTTACTTAGTTCATGTAGTTAGTATTTTGCTCCTATTAGGTTGTACTTGCAATAGGTTACCTATTGATAAGAAGCACCTTTGCTGCCTCTAGGCCTGTGCAATAAACTAAAGAACTCTACATAAAGTTTAAAAGGACATATATTAATATTAATCCTACAGCATTTCAGGATATTAAAGCTTCTAGTTGGGTACTGGTCCACCACTAAACAAAAGTCCTGTGGGAGCTATTCAGACCAATGCATCTGGCTGAGAGTGTTGCTGGAATACTCAGGGGCATGAATCCCTGCTCCAGATTTTATCCAACTGGAAGCATTGTGAGAGCTACTCTCCGGCTGTTTGGACCTTATGTCAGCTTTGGTTGCACTTGGCCAATATATACCATGTGCAGTAGAAAAAAACAGAGATAACACCTCCTTATCCACCCAGAGTGATCACACTGAGGAGAAACAAACCAGTGAACACCAGTTAACCCCACCCACCCACTCACCAGACTTTAAAGCCTGACAGATTTTCCTGTGGTTCAAGTGAAGGCGAAGGGAAGAAGTCTACCAGGGTTCTGAACTTGAGAACTTCTCCCTTTCAGATGCACAGGGCAAGCTGCATTGCTTCTAGTTGCATTTATTATCCTAGAGGCACCATCATGGCTAATCTCACTCATCACCAGAAGAGCTTGTAATGTTAAGAAAGAAATGACAACTTGCCACTAACTGCAATGTGTTGACAAAACAACCAGTTAATCCACAGCAGAACATCTCTAACAGTCTGTTCTTCATCTACAAACGAGGCCCAAAAGGTTTCCATTTACCCACAATCTGTTCAGATTCGAATGTTCACAATTCACATTGTTTTGAAAAAGCCACAGCATACCTGTATTTGTTTTACAATTTTCACCCAGCTCACAGATACCAAAAGTCAACTCTATTTGATTAAAAGTTAATAGATAATACAGGGCCTTACACCTGTCATTAAATATTTCCTTCTTGTTCTGCTCAACTTACCTTTGACCAAGTGTTTTCTTTGCTTAGCAGATCTGCATAAAAGAATGCCATCTTCCACTGGCGCTTGTAGGTGAAGCACCACATGAGCTCCCAGTAACACATGTGATGAAACTGCTTCCAGTACTGCTGAGCCTCGCAGCATTCTTCATACCTACTAACTGCCTGAACACAGAGATTTCCGAACACTACCTTAATCACATGTAAATGCATGTACAACAAAGCTGTAACAGACATTTGGTCTTCATGATCTGCTTCCATAGCTCCTGCAGTTTCCAAATTAAAAACAGCCTAGTATTTCCCAAGATCATGTCTGCTGGCTTCATATAAGAGTTCCTTGGCTCCACAGTAGTCCTGGGGTTAGCAAGTTTACCCCTGCAACAGAGCTCCCCATTCTTGGAAGTTTTATGGAAGTCCTAAGTCTAAGTACAGGCAAAATGAATGCATGTACCTAGGGAAACTGGGAATCTAAAGTCAGAGGACAGATGCTCAACTGACATTTGTCATAGCTCCAAAAACTTCAAGGGAGCTACAGCACTGCACATCAGCTGATACTGTGTCTCATAGTATTTTTGACGTGTATTCTGCAACACCCTAATTCTTGCAAGTCTCGTATGACTCTCCATTCAGACTTAAGGCAAATGATTACCATGGGATGTTGTTAAAGGTACAACTCACTTCAGGGTAGGAAAGACAATGACAAAACTGTGTCATTAATAGTGGTGGATTAGGTTATCACCAGAAATCAAGGGTAATGACATGAGCTGGTGAAACAAGCTGGTCAAAATAGTTTTCAAAATTCCTACTTGTATTCATGAGCTATAAATTACATACAGGCCAGAGACACAGGAAGCATTAACTAAAACAGAAACGTTGTTCCTGTAGGAGTTTTCCTGAAGCTTTTGAGGCTTATTTTTTCCAAGAGCAAGTGGATTACTTACCGCATCAATATTACCCTTCAGTGTTTCTATCCTGCCTGCAAAAAACAGGAATATGGCTCCCTGTAATAAATAATAATAAAAACACAAGTATTCTTTAACAGTTTTCAAGCTGACCATACAGTCTAGATCTTTGTTATTTGGCAGGGAAACATTAAACAATCATACCAATCTGAATTATGATTGATTTTACCTTTGGATAGCGAGCCAAGTAAGGTTTAAGTAGCCTTTCTGCCTCCTCAACATTTCCTTTTCCTGTCCCTAAAATGCATAATAATGCAAGTAATAAAAACAGTAAAAAAACAAAAACAAAAACAAAAAACACACACACATACAAAACACAAAAACCAGGAGGGCAAAGTACTGATTAGCCATCCTCATCTGGCCAATACGGAAGTTCCTCTGTCTGTTAAGTTGGGTATAAATACAGTTTCACTAAGCAAGCAAGCAGGAAGATTCAAACAACATTGTGCTTAGTGACTTGAAAACTCATTTATGAGTAAACCAACACACTTTGAAAAAGCTCTAACAGTAGATGACTGGGAAGTATATTCTTTCAGAGAGAAGCTATCAACTCTAAAAAAAGATAGAGATGAGCAAAGTATTCAGGAACTCATCTCACTTACAGCCATGATTTCAGCTTCCCAGTTAATACACCTGATTAGAGAAGAAAGATTTAGTTCTCATGACTTCTTTTGCTACCCCCATTTTCTCCTTTCTTATGCATTAAACAAACCTCCATCTTGTAGATTAAGATACTCTCTTTGGTTATGATGACTACTGTAAAATCACCCCAAAATGACGTATATTTAATCTGATTGTGAACAAGTATTTCACCAACAAATAGGTGTTGAAACCATCTTTTTCCCCTTTGTCTCCCACAAGAACTAATCAAATCCAAGAGTTATATAAACAATCTTACCTAACACAAAGGTCATGAAAGTATGATAGCAAAGCAACAGCATGGTACACAGCACCGACCTAAAGCTGTATGATGACGCTCCTTCTTGAAGCTGCAGCAGACCATGCTCCTGTGCAAACAAAAGCGAGAAGGACAAAGTATTAGAAAAGAACTAAAGCAATTTTTTGATATATATATATATATATTTACCCTTTGCAGTGTCATCTATAGATTGCTCACTCTCAAATTTCCAAAATACACTGATGTAAATTACTTGTATAGCAATCAGAGAGATTATATTAACAGTTTTTTATGGAGTAACTGCTTCATCTCTGGAAAACATTCTGAGACAGAGCAGCAATTTGTGATTTATTACTTGGTTAACGTAAGAGAATGTGAAACAACTTATCACCATCACCAAAGTGCTGCTAAACAACATTTCAATAATGAAAAAAGCACGGTTTTAAAATGCCTGGCAAATAATATTGATCGTCTTTGCGCAGTGTGCCCGTGTTTGTTGTTATTCACTGCAGAAGCAGGTTAAAGACATCAAGAGAACCATATCTACAACTAGCAGGGCAAAGGATAGCAGTGCAAAAGGATGTCTGTAAGTATGTCAACAAAAGAAGCCTTGCAATGGTGTTGGCCCTCTACCAGAGGTGGAAAAAATATCACGGAAAGAAGAATGTTCCTATTCTCTTTGGGAAGAACTACAGCGATCGAGTATCGTGCTGTATTCATATTCGAAGGGAGAACTAAGGATTCAAGCTCCTAAGACAACAGTATTTACCGATCCCTTTTAGGACTGGTTCCCTGGTATCAATGGTAAGAATATAAACATGCAAACATACCAACCATGAGATCTGCTTCCTAGTAAACACACACAGTAAGACGTTCACTTTGTGCTGGGGAAAATTCCATTTAAAAGTTGCACTACAACTGCAATGGAAAACTACTGGAACAAGATGTATACAACTACAAAGACATCCATTCAGACCAGCTACACTATAAATAGGGACCCTGAGGGATGTCTCTGGAGCCACTGCAGAAGGTATCACAGGGAGCACTCAGTGCATGATCTCAACACAGATTTTCATCTTTTGTGTGTCTCTGCCCATGGAAAGGTATTACACTACATGAACTTTACCATTTACTGTACAAACCCTAAAGCCTGTAACCATATTCTAATTTTGATCATACATTTATGTTTTTACTTAACTAGTTTTTTTTTTGTTTGTTTGTTTTTAATGTAAATACAGTTATTTTGAGTTTTAATAAATCTTTATTTATTACTGTTATGGGGAAAGTAACACGTACCATTAACACACACACCTTCAAGAGAATTAGCATGACATCTAGCCTGGATAAAATAATGAAAATACTGACTTGTACATCACTTCAGAAGAAATTTAAAAGATAGGAAAATCATAACTGAAAATCAATGACTTTATGGAAAGCAAGCACTCTTGAAATAAAGCCAACTTCATTTTCCGCTGAAAGCAGAAGTTTGATTGATACAAATAACTAACAAAATATGATGCACTCAGCTCCTTCCACCTGCTCAAGTGAAAACCACAAATACTTGGATTTTTTTTTAAAAAGTACCACTGTTGTACTGCAAGGTAGAAGACAAAACATTTTGTGGAATGAATTTGGCAGAAAAAAAAAAATTCAAAGTAGACTTCCAAAGTAGATTTTTTCAAATGAAAAATCTTCAGGACGGATATTTTACTGGGTCTTTACAGACGTTTACATCAGTAAAAGACCTTACAGTGTTAGATATCGTCCAGTTAGTATAAAAATACAGGTAAAATAGCTGCTGCTCATATTTGTGAATAGCACTAAGAATGACAGAGAAACAAACTGTATTATTTATATAAAACAATTTACTTGTCAAGTTGATCTCACTGATGTATTTTAGTCCAAAAAATGTATTTTAAGATAGCCAAACACAATATTATCGTCTGTATAAACCAGGAAGGCAGCCCATATCCACCCCATCTGGGACAGCATCTGGGAAAGCTGTAACCGTGAAGAAAATCGATTAAGAAATTGCTCATTCTTTATGAAAGACAGCTGCAAATCTGGCATACATCAGCCTAAATTCTTAAACTGAGTAGTTACACAGGTATGGGAAGCTCATTGAGCAAGTTAGTTCACTGCCATGTCTAGAATCCTATTTTGTCCCACACAGGTAATTAAAGACTGCTTACAGTTCACTCTGCTACTGGAATACCCCAAACTTTCTATATTAAAATAACAATATAATCAGTAAACACAGTCTGAACAAAAGAAATCTAGAAGCAGTTATTACTAGTATTGCAATGCTTGCTTGTAGAGAAGGCTGCAACAAAGCTGCTTCTCCCGAAAACACTCTTGCAAACTGCTGTTGTTATGGCAAGATCTCCAAAGTGGGATGACAAAGGGCGTTCGTGAGAAGCACCTTTTAGCTACCATGTCCAACCAGACAGACTCCCTAGGCTCCCTTTGTGGCTGGTAGAGATAGATTTACTCCTGGAAGGAACGATTCAGCACAGAAGCCCAAGTCAGATACTCTGATTCACCTTTTTTAAGCACCTACTCTTACTCCACAGGGAGCCTAAAGAAATTAGCCAGCAAACCTAATCATGTAGGTGAGGTGTCATGAGTTGGACAATGCTATTACACCCACATGATCCTCAGTGGGGATCAGCTGAGGATCTCAGCACCAAATCACAGGCTGCTACTATTTGAGCCTCTGTGAACAAATTATACTCACTGGTGCCAGTCAGTATAATTGAGAACATTGCACCTAATTGTTAGGACGCACCTTTTAACACCTGTAAATACCTCCCACACCTATGCCACTGGTGACAGGAGCTATGACAAACCACCAGGATGTGCTTCCAAACAAAGTCTATTGCTACAATATAAAGCAGATGTCAAGGTAACAAGTAGTAGCAATTTCTCTAAAATACCTAAATGACAGTAACACAAGAGGCAGGTTACCATGAAGAGCATAAGGTATAACACAGAGGAGGAAGAGACACACTTTTCTTACAGACAAATGTCATGATCCAATGCAGTATCCCTTACCTTTCTATGCAAGTTGCTCAGAACATCCTATGCCCTTTTAATTCCCTATACTGTCACTTCATGACAAGGAAAAGCAATATCCCATTGATGTGATCCTTGTTCCAAGACATCCAATATTCTCTCATTCAGGTGTCCCACACAAGCAGTGGGGGATTCCCACAGTGAATGAGGTGCAAACAAGGACAATGCTCAAAACCATCATTAGACAGCATACAGGCTGGTTCCTATCTATTTCAGCTGTGACTGACTAAAATCCATTTCATTTTCTGAAGTGAAAGCTCTTCAATTATATTTTAAATCATTCTTGTTTAATTACAGATCTTTACAAAGGAAGCAAAACAAGGTCACTGTTCATGTCCCATGACTTGATCACATTACTGCAGGTGTAGCGAGTAGGATGAATAATAGCTTTTATGAAGAACTAATTAAACCAGTAGCCTGGGCACTTGAATGTATTAAATAACTTCAGTTTAAAATTTGCAGGAGACCAAAATGCAAATCAAAAAGATGCTTCTTCAGAAACTGGAACTCAATTTATTACAAATTGAGACATCAAAAATATTCCTCAGCTCAGCTGCTTTGCGAAAAAGTGTCCTAACACATCAGAAAGTATAACTTGAAAGAAGTTGGTTCTATCTGAAAATTCTTCTGCCTTCCCCAGAAATCATGCTGTCAGCTGACCCTCTGACAAGCTGCACTTAACTTATGGTGGGCCCATGTCAAACTTTTCTACAGCTTAGCACCACAAAATTTGTAGCGTTCTATAAACTAAGAATGACAGTACATGTCAGACTGAGGAGTCTTGTGATCTCACACCAGAAGTTAGTCACCATTAAGCACAAAAAGTCCAGACGGGACACATTCTGCACCCGCTGCCCGGAGTGGATGAGGCCTGCCTCCCCTGTTAGTGGCCTAGCCAACACATGATATACATGTATACCTCAACCCACAGAAAATTTCTTATGAAATCAGGTGAAATCCCATGCCTTGAATCTCAATGTCCAAATGCAGGATCTATGCCATGGAACACAAATCAGCCCTTAGTTTGACCAACGATACCAGGAGAAAGGAGCTCAGACAGTGAGCGTGGCACAACTGGCACTTCTCAGAGCGGAAGGGAACGAGGGTGGCCTCAGGCTACTTTTATACTTTCTTGATCTTATCCTTCCTACTATTCTGGGACGCCAGACTGCTATTAAGTTGATCATGCTGTCCCCAGTGCCCACGAATGACTGAGGAAGTAATGCAGCTTTGGGCACATCCTCAGTAACTAGCAGACATGACATGTCTGTGAAAAGGAGAGTTGCTAGGGGCAAGTCTGCCAGCTTCAAGGCAGATTAGTTTTGTGGAAGATATCTTAATACAATTGTATATCCACTTCTAATACACACACGATCCACACTAAAAGCAAACTGTCTTCGAGTGAAATATAACTCTTCTGGGTAAATCATAAGCAGCTCAAGGCTCTCTTGGCTTTTGCACAGCCTGATGCTCACCACAAGCATTTAAATGAAAAGACTATGTGGTCAAACACTGATGTACTCAAAATTCCTTTTCCTCTGGATGGTGTGCAGCATATGACACACACACTTTCTCTCTTCTCTTCTCTTCTGTTACTTTCACCTTCAAGCCTCTTGTCTGTACTGCAGAGGACAGATTCCTTCTGCAAGCTTTGGAAAAGCACCACTGGAAGGGATTATGAATGTAATTGCAATCTTGCTTTTCACTTTGGGCATCTAGTTTCAAATTGTCAAATGCAGAAAGACTTTTCTGGGATGTTAAAATAAATGACCATCAATGAACTTTGATTAAAATGCTTAAAACGCACCTTTTTATGGTGTGCAGATACCATGTTTTTGCTTAAATTTATGCTAATCTAGGTCATGCTTCAGTCAGTTATTGAAAAACTGGAACAGGAGCTGACTCATCAACACAAATAGCAGCCCACTCATAGCCATACAACAAACCCCAGGGCCAATGGAAAAGAACAGAAATTCTATTAGAGGGAAAATTTTCATCTGCAGTAATAGAATGAGAGTTCAATTCTGAGTATTCTCAGAATTCTGCTGGTACGTGAATTGCCCTTACATTTTCTAGGAGAATATTTTGCTTTAGATGCATTTTGTTTTCATAACTGACAGGTGGAATTACTTGATTTTTGCCTCTACTGCCTGTGAAACAGCTCCTGGTCAAGCTCCCAGACATTTCCAAGTTCTAATCCATGCCCTTGCAATAGCTCCTTGCTTTTAAACATGACATTTTATTTTCAGATCTAACATCCCTCCAGTAAACTAATAAAGTGGCAATGACATTCACCCACATGTCACCTACAAGTGCATCTCTAATTAAATAAACATTTTTCTCCTTGAAACTTGTTTTGAAAATATAAAACATTATAAAAAAAGAGTTGAGTTTTAACTTGTTTATACTTTTGTTTGATGTCCCACAAACACAGCATTTACCTTACCCAGAATTTATGAAATAAGCATAACTGGTAGTTCAGGTTAAGTGAACCTTAATGCTTTTTTAATCCAAGAACCCAAATTTTGATTGAATCTCATAGTCTGGTGGTGGAATGGGAAATAAGGACAGGTATAAGGTATCAAGGCCAAGATTAAAAAAACAAACAAAAACAAAAACACTAACTAATTACCCACAGTTTATTATCCTATTTTGAAACAATGTATCCATAAAATACTAACACAGAGAGATTACTTTCTGGATACTTTCTGTGCCTCTGCCCCACAGACAGAGTAAGTCAGGTTTGTGCAAGCTTACTGGTGCTTCGTTGCTAAAGAACTGGCCTTAAACTGCATGCACAGGCAACACAGGTCAGACTTGTAACTCTCTGGGGAAAAAAAAAGCACTTATTCTTTAGGCAAAGAAGATTTAGGTGCCACAGAAATCATTAAAGACATGAAGAAAAATAAATCAAATGAAACTGGAAGTCTTTTTTTTCCAACTGGATGTCATGCAGGAACCTCTCAGGGTCATTTGGATACTCTAATAACCGCAACTATCAAGTAAGATAATTTATAACAGGCTAAGAATATGATTTTGGCTATGACCTTCTAAGCACAAGCATACATCAAAAGACCAGTAACTAAAAATAATTAAAAAAAACCAAAACCTGACTTTGTCAATACCATTGTATTAGCCATTGTCTTGTATCATGTTTCAGAAGTGTATTATCATTGAAAAATGATATCACAACCTTTAAAGTGTAATAGTTCAGACAAAAATATAAAGGAACACCGGACTGTATGAAAACAGTGTCAGCAACGCACATGCTGTGATATTAATCAGTGTGTTTCAGAGAGTTACAGTTAATGAGAGGAGGAAGAAACTCCTCTCTCTCTCTCAGTCTGAAAGAAATGTACCAAAAATATTTATTTCACCTTTACCTTGTTTCCAGAAAACCCAACAAACTCCAGCAATCTCAGAATCCGTGCAGGAAACATGGACAATGTCTATAGAAAGAAATGCAACAGTTATGCAGTTACACACTTTCATACCATCAGCCATCTTGTGGTTTGCTACAGAGGACATCCTGTGCCATGTCACCACATCTGACCCCTTGTTTTTCTAACCAGAACACAAGCACTGGCAGCAAACAGTGTCCTGAACATCATCCCAGGCTCCACTCACGCATCCTGCCCCACCAACTGTCCTGCCAACAGCCAACTCCCTGTCCTTGGTTGCTCCCTCAGTGCTGATTAAATAGTAAATGGAAGTCAACGAGCACCGGCATCTTCTGCTCCTGAGCAAGGCTTCTCCCAGCCCTTATCCCCATGGTTCCCTTCTCATGAGGCTACAACCCACTCCTGTGTGCCTCCCAGCACTGGTCACAGGGCTAACCTAGATCACCTCCACTGGCAGCTGGGCACAGGCACTTTGCTATATCAAAGAACATGTCCTTAGCCTGTGTCAGACAAGAAAAGTGCTCAATTTATAATTTCTCCATCAGGACGTGCACATGGGCCTGCACACACACGACGGTATTGGCACGTTATGGGTAGCAGTCTCTTTATTTCTATAGTGTATAACTATCTGCCGGTGTTAGATCAGAGACTGGGATCCTGCAGGTATCAACACACACACCTAATTTTAACCCCAAGACTAGTAACACTGATGTCTATGGAACTTCTCAGGAAGTTACATTAAGAACATTTTCAGGAGTTTGCAGACCTTGAGCTCAAGAGAAGAACTGCTGGTACATACCAAATTAAATGCTCCAACCCCGAGCTTTACACCTCCCTCAAAATGGAGATGGTTCTCTCCTTTGACATAATGTGGAGATTGTATGAGACTGTCCAGCTCTCTGAAAAAGCACAGGATTGTGTCATATTGTCAGTAAAGAAAATGATCAACACTAATTACAATTCAGTAAGAAAGTAATCCAATTACCTTGACCTACATAGTAGTTCAAAAAAGGTGAATTTGTCATCTCACCCAGATGAACAACATCTACAGCATTTTGTTGGATTTATCAACAAACCATTTCTGTCATATTACTATCAACTCAAAAATATGGAGTCCTGGAGATGAATTCCTGTCAAACAGACATAGTCAATCTGCAACCACATTTCTGCCTGAAAATGTCTGAAGACTGGCTTTTGGGATTTACTATTACAAACAGACGATGGGGCAGTGTAGAAGACAGGACTTTGCAATTTTTTAATTAATTTGATTTGCATTTCACTAATTTCTAGATTATGTATCTAGAAATTATGAATATAAATAATCTAGATTATGTTTTCCCCAACCTGGTGCGCCCCTCTGATTATTATCCGCTCCTGATAATCCAGGCGGGCACTGATGACATTGACAACAGAAGCCTGAAGGCTATCAAAAGAGACTTTAGGGGACTGGGACGGTTAGTGGACGGAGCAGGAGTGCAAGTAGTTTTTTCGTCCGTCCCTACGTTGACAGGGAGGGGTACGGAGAGGACAACGAAAGCCCACCTGTTAAACACGTGGCTCCGGGGCTGGTGCCTACGCAGAAATCTTGGGTTTTTCGACCATGGGGCAGTTTACTCAGCACCTGGTCTGGTGGCCGTAGACGGGTCCCTATCCTTTAGGGGAAAAAGGATCCTGGGCCAGGAGCTGGCGGGGCTCATTGATAGGGCTTTAAACTAGGTAAGAAGGGGGATGGGGCTGGAGCGAGGACTGTTGGGGCTGTACCAGGGGGAGCAGTGGCAAGGCCGGAGGATAAGGTAAAGGCCCAGCTGAAGTGCATCTACACCAATGCACGCAGCATGGGTAACAAACAGGAGGAGCTGGAAGCCATCGTGCAGCGGGCAGGCTACGACTTGGTTGCCATCACGGAAACGTGGTGGGACCAGTCTCATGACTGGAGTGCTGCGATGCCTGGCTATAGGCTCTTCAGAAGGGACAGGCAGCATGGAAGGGGTGGCGGTGTGGCTCTCTATATTAGAGAGTCTTTCGATGTTGTAGAACTCGAGGCTAGGAATGACAAGATCGAGTCCCTTTGGGTTAGGATCGGCAGGGACAACAAGGCTAGTGTCCTGGTCGGGGTCTGCTATAGACCGCCGAACCAGGATGAGGAGACGGATGAGGAGTTCTACAGGCAGCTGACAGAAGTTGCGAAATCGTCAGCGCTTGTACTCGTGGGGGACTTCAACTTCCCTGACATATCCTGGAAGCACAACACAGCCCAGAGGAAGCAGTCTAGGAGGTTTCTGGAGAAAGTGGAAGATAGCTTCCTGACGCAGCTGATTAGTGAACCTACCAGGGGTGGTGCCCTGCTAGACCTTCTCTTCACAAACAGAGAAGGACTGGTGGAGGATGTGATTGTCGGGAACAGTCTTGGGCAGAGTGACCACGAAATGGTGGAGTTCTCTATTCTTGGCGGGGCCAGGAAGGGAACCAGTAAAACCACTGTATTGGACTTTCGGAGGGCTGACTTTAGGCTGCTCAGGACACTTGTTGGTGGAGTCCCATGGGAGGCGGTTCTGAAGGGCAGAGGGGTTCAGGAAGGCTGGGTGCTATTCAAGAGGCAAATCCTAATGGCACAGGAGCGGTCTATCCCCATGTGCCCAAAGATGAGCCACCGGGGAAGACGACCAGCCTGGCTCAACAGAGAATTGTGGCTTGAGCTTAGGAGGAAAAAGAGGGTTTATAATCTTTGGAAAATTGGGCAGGCCACTAGGGAGGACTATAAGGATGTAGCGAGGCTGTGCAGGGACAAAATTAGGAAGGCCAAAGCTCATCTGGAGCTAAAGCTGGCTACTGCCGTTAAAGATAACAAAAAACGCTTTTATAAATACATCAACACAAAAAGGAGGACTAAGGAGAATCTCCATCCTTTACTGGATGCGGGGGGAAACTTAGTTACAAGAGATGAGGAAAAGGCGGAGGTGCTCAATGCCTTCTTTGCCTCAGTCTTTAGTGGTAAAACCGGTTGCTCTCTGGATACCCAGTACCCAGAACTGGTGGAAGGGGACGGGGAGCAGGATGTGGCCCTCACCATCCACGAAGAACTGGTTGGTGACCTGCTACGGCACTTGGATGTGCACAAGTCGATGGGGCCGGATGGGATCCACCCAAGAGTACTGAGAGAACTGGCAGAGGAGCTGGCCAAGCCCCTATCCATCATTTATCAGCAGTCCTGGCTATCGGGGGAGGTCCCAGCTGACTGGCGGCTAGCAAACGTGACGCCCATCTACAAGAAGGGCCGGAGGGCAGACCCGGGGAACTACAGGCCGGTCAGTTTGACCTCAGTACCAGGGAAGCTCATGGAGCAGATCCTCTTGAGAGTCATCATGCGGCACTTGAAGGGCAAGCAGGCGATCAGGCCCAGTCAGCATGGGTTTATGGAAGGCAGATCCTGCTTGACGAACCTGATCTCCTTCTACGACAAAGTGACGCGCTGGGTGGACGAGGGAAAGGCTGTGGATGTGGTCTACCTTGACTTCAGCAAGGCTTTTGACACCGTTTCCCACAGCATTCTCCTCAAGAAACTGGCTGCTCTTGGCTTGGACTGGCGCACGCTTCGTTGGGTTAGAAACTGGCTGGATAGCCGGGCCCAGAGAGTTGTGGTAAATGGAGCCAAGTCCAGTTGGAGGCCAGTCACTAGTGGCGTCCCCCAGGGCTCGGTGCTGGGGCCGGTCCTCTTTAACATCTTCATCAATGATCTGGATGAGGGCATTGAGTGCACCCTCAGTAAGTTTGCAGATGACACCAAGCTAGGTGCGTGTGTCGATCTGCTTGAGGGTAGGAAGGCTCTGCAGGAGGATCTGGATAGGCTGCACCGATGGGCTGAGGTCAACTGTATGAAGTTTAACAAGGCCAAGTGCCGGGTCCTGCACCTGGGGCGCAATAACCCCAAGAAGAGCTACAGGCTGGGAGAGGAATGGCTGGAGAGCTGCCAGGCAGAGAAGGACCTGGGAGTGATGGTGGACAGTCGGCTGAATATGAGCCAGCAGTGTGCTCAGGTGGCCAAGAAGGCCAACGGCATCCTGGCTTGTATCAGAAACACTGTGACCAGCAGGGCTAGGGAGGTGATCGTCCCCCTGTACTCGGCTCTGGTGAGGCCGCACCTCGAGTACTGTGTTCAGTTCTGGGCCCCTCGCTACAAGAAGGACATCGAGGTGCTTGAGCGGGTCCAGAGAAGGGCGACGAAGCTGGTGAGGGGCCTGGAGAGCAAGTCCTATGAGGAGCGGCTGAAGGAGCTGGGCTTGTTCAGCCTAGAGAAAAGGAGGCTCAGGGGTGACCTTATCACTCTGTATAAGTATATTAAAGGAGGCTCTAGCGAGATGGGGGTTGGCCTGTTCTCCCATGTGCCTGGTGACAGGACGAGGGGGAATGGGCTAAAGTTGCGCCAGGGGAGTTTTAGGTTAGATGTTAGGAAGAATTTCTTTACTGAAAGGGTTGTTAGACATTGGAACAGGCTGCCCAGGGAGGTGGTTGAGTCACCATCCCTGGAAGTCTTCAAAAGACGTTTAGATGTAGAACTTAGGGATATGGTTTAGTGGGGACTGTTAGTGTTAGGTCAGAGGTTGGACTCGATGATCTTGAGGTCTCTTCCAACCTAGAGATTCTGTGATTCTGTGATTCTGTGATTCTGTATTCCCACTTTGTGCATGTTCAACCAAAAGAACATTGTGTTATATATAGGAAAAGTCAATTGTAAGAAATTTTAAAAAGTGAGCAGGTATATTGGAAATTATTTATATTTCTAATCTTTTAGGTCTCAACTTGGTAGCGTTCCTTTATTGCCCTGTGTAAGCCAACTGGATTTGAAGCTGCTTTTCCCCCCAGCTTTCCACAGTTATGTGTTTTTCACATTATTGTTTTAGTTCAATTTGCTTATGCGTAGGGAAAAAAAAACAAAAACAAACAACACTTTTTCAATTGCAGCCACACATTTGTATGCAGGCTGTCACATTTTTTATCAGCTGGTTGTTGCTAACAGATCTAAGACACTTCACTGTAATTGCAGCCTTTACAATGGACCTGCATTTAGTCACCTTAAACCCACATGAACATGGACACTGTCATCTTTCTCCCTTTCATTACACTTCTGTGGAACCTGGAACGGATACTGTTTTGTGTCTGATACACGTGACTTTTTGTGGCTTTTCTGAGGCCAAATTTTAAGTCCTAAAATAAAACAAAACATGATGCAAATTTCATTTTCATCTTTTTAAATTTTTCATTAGTCTCTACTGCCATGAAAGTTTTCTCATACTTTTTATGCACTGACAGCAAGCAAATATTTCATTCTAAATTACCATATTATTTCACTCCATCTTTTTTATGGTAACCTTTCCTCCCTGAGAGTTTTATATCTTTGTAATGTTTACCCCTACTGTCTTTGTCAGGGTTGCTGTTGTTGTGGATTACCAACCTGTTCTGTTGACAGCAGGGAAAGCAAAGATCACTTTTTTGTATCAGAAATTATTGTGATAAATATTAATAAATCAAAGCAAACAAAGGCTCATTTCCACATTTTTGCCGCAACCTTCTGTACCACACTCTCACCAGGACTGAAAACAATTATTTCTTGCCACATCAAAGGTACAGTACAAAAATCATAATTGCCAGTCTCACATACAAACTTCCCCTTTGTTAAAGTATGTTTTAGTAATATTGAAGTTGTTATTAGCATTCTTTTGAGGGAGACCACCTAAGTCCAACTAGATTTATTACACTTTGTTTTTACATATAGTAGAGCTGTTCTTAATTTATTGAGGCAAAATAAAGTATGCTTCCCATGGTGTACATTTTAATTTACCTTTGCAGAATTTACTACTGCACTTCAAAACACTTTGCACATGTTGAAAATCTCTCTCCATTACCTCCCAAAAAGAAATATGCTTAGGCAGATGTTTTTGGCTTCTAGACACTAAGTAACGGACATATTGTGAGTTTAGATAAGCAACCCTGCTTATCATTTTTAATAGCATGCACCTTCTCTTTAGAGTAGAGTAGCTGCCGTACTTAACCAGATTAAAGGTCCAGCTAACCCAATATTTCACACAGACAGTGGCATATGCTTGGAAAAACATCCTCTATGAATTGTCTGTTCGGGGACTTCATGATGTGGAGAGACTGCATCTGTTCTATCATGCTAATTAGCCCTGATAAATCTATTTCCTGTACATTTGCTTAAATCTTTTTTTGAAGTCATTTATATTTTCCATTGCAAGCTCTTCATTTTATATTCTCTTCATTTTTAGTTTCATGACTTTATTATGGAATTACTTGTGCTTCAGCTACTGGATTTGAACATTCCAAAAAGCTGCAGCAGAAATTACAAAGAAATGCAATTTCATAAGCCTGATGACCTGTTTCATGCCTGATCATATCTCAAGTAGGCAAACCTTGGCAGTTAACAAGGGAAGGGTCCACTACCTCTTTTTTCTATTCCCTGTCTACCTAATACAAATTTAAAATCCAAACGAACCATAATATCAATGCCTTTTGTTTTGCAAAGAAGGAACTTGCGTGGGCAGAGAAAAGGCTCTAGATGTGAGGCCCATAATAAAGGCTGCAATAAATATAGCAGAAAGTAATTTGTGAATTGGAGAATTTGACCAGCTGCACTTTTTATGGAAAGAGTACACACAATAGTGTCATCACTCTGACGTACCTGTATGTTTGGTAACTGTTCCTGACTTTGATGCCTCCTTTTATGAAGCTAACCATATTCTCATCCTGTTGGAAATGAAAGATGTTTGCAATATGAATTCATAAGCAAATTTATAAGCATTTGTAAGCATTACAAACAGCTTCTGTCTTCTGGAGATGAACATGTGCCTTGAACATAAGCATCATTACACTGACAATATAATTCTCTATGAAACAATACATGCATTTATGACTTCTTTTTTATATTAAAACAGTTTTACTCTGTTCAGATATCTGTTGGCTTTACTTTGATGCATTCTGTGATTTGTATAGCCCCTGTGACCTCTGGACCGTTTGAATCTCCCTAATGGACACAGGGAACTAAACTAATGAATAGCATCTACGGTACATGCACTTGTGGCTGTTTCAAAAAATAGCTTTCTTTCATTTGTCCTTCAGCATGGTTAAGATCTGAACATTTCCTGGCTCAGCACCAGATACAAATAACTGCCTGTCCTCAGGAGTCTACAGAATATAGTTTCACATCCTAAAAAGGAAGCAGGGTAAGTAAAGTTATGCAGGATATGCTCTTTCTGGTCTGAATTAAGTGCCTCCGAGACCCATACTAGTGTGGTAGCATGTTACTTTACTAGCTATAATGAACTGAGAACTTACAAAAAAGTGTATCTGGGGGACCTTTAGTTAACAGCTGTATCCCAAAGAGAAAACTCTTTAGTCTCATAAGTTTCTGATGGTAGTTTCTTGCTTCATTCATCACATCTAATCGGTCATTCTGGTTTGTTTTGGTATCTGCTATTACTTTAGAATAGGAAGGCTACATGCGTTTTAGCAAATGATTTTTCTGTGATGGTATTTTGAGAGGCTGTACAACCCATTGCGGAGAAAATAGCATAAATTAGGTGAAAACAGCATAGATTAGATGAATGTTCAGTTGTTTAACTGTTATTATCAAGAAAATGGGGCCCAATTCTGCTCTTCAATATGTAAACAAAGAGGCAGAACCTGCCCCAAAGAGCTTTCCATCTTTCTGACAGTCAGGAAGATAACCCAATCAAAGTTACAGAAAACTTTGAAGTCTGTAAGAAAATGAATTATAAATTGGTGTAGGAAGCCTAATGGCCTGAACTGAAGGGCAGGGGCTTACTTCTGCAGACTGCAACATCACCACTGACATGTCTTTGACAGCCATCCTTAAGCAGAGTTCTCAAGAGTGATAAATGAGGACAGAACACCCCATAAGTGAACGTGTATTTTCTGATATATCCCCAGAGACTTGAATCCCAGTAACATGCAGACAAAATAATCACGGAGCGATGCGACCCTGTTTTTCTTTGTTCTGTAGAACAAATTGTGTTAGCAACTGGGGAGGGGTTGGGCATACCTATTCATATGTAAAGGTTCAGTTGTATTTTCCTTCTAATAGAAAAAAAAAAGTACATTTTCCTTTGAACAGAAAATGGAAGATGAAAGAAGATGATTTTAAAATGTTTAAAGCAAAATATTTAAATCAATACTCAAGATACCAGCAACAGAGGTAACCAATACAAGAATAGTTCAGCCTCCCCCTCAAAATCCTGATGCTTATTTCTATGTTTTTTCAATTCAGTTTGGTCATTTACATTAGGCATCAAAATTAACTGACTGCAGTAGCTGTTGGAGACAAGTGCCTTTGTTTAATTTTTAAAACCAGTTCATGGGTTCATGAAAAATTAAACACAGAGAAAAAGAGGAAGCAAAAAACAGTTATTTTTCATGCAGAAGAAGACAATAAATTATTTTCTTACTCTTAAATTTCTCATGTATTTATAAACATTTTTTAAAATAGAAAACTGTGGAAACAGTGCTTAAAACCAAGAGGCACTGTATCAAACACATTTTTCTTACAGGCATAATGCAGAAGTTCTGGAAAACATTGCGGCCATAGCTTCAGATATCACCTGAACTGTCCCCACTGCTACAGGCCACTCATCCCAAAAAGCAGGAATATGAAAATAGGTAGATACGCCTCAGCCATTTCAAATTCAAGCATCTTACCATAAAGACATCATTATCTGCATCCTGAAAACCTTCAGAAGAAGCTATTTTGATTACTGGCTTTGCCATGAAGCAATAGTTTCTAGTAGAGGGGCAAGGCAGATAGCAGAAAAAGGTGACGTTTCATAAACTGAACTGCAAACAACACAAAGCAGAGCCCATCTGGCAACTCCCAGTCATTATAAAACCATCGCCTGCATTTCATTCTCTATCAGCATCTCTGACCTAAGAAGCAGAAGCTCTTTGTAAATGTGACTGACTTCTATTATCCCCTCTGCACAGATGAAGAGGCCTGATGTTACATAGCAAGTTGAGGCAGATCAAAAAGAAAAATCAGTTATCCAGGCTCTAGCTTGCAGCTTACATTGTTAATGATAGCTGGAATAAGTGTTGCTAATACTGATTTCTCAAACAAATCAAGCTTCATTAGTCCAGACAGATAAAATTCCAAGCAGAGGGAGAGTTCCCATTCTTTTAAAGACAGGCAGCACTATTCAGCAAAAAGAATGTGTAGAGCTTAATAGCTGTGCAGACCATAGAAGCGTTCAAAAACAAACAAGCGAGAAAGAAGTCTTGGGAAAGCAAACACCAGTCTGACTGAAACAAAATCTCCCTTGCATTCCAGCCTAGCCTAGCTTCAGTGACCATCTCTCTCTCTCTCTTTTTTTTTTTTTAAAAAAAAGATCTGATATCCCAACACACAGTATTTGAATATCAGTGCTTAGTGCAGCAATGTTTCACACAACCAAAGGGGAATGGAGAAGGGCATCACAGGGGACTCAGTCCAATTTGTAATGAGATAAGCCTTTTCAGATAATCATTGGGCATAACCAAACATGTCACTATCTCATCAGCAAATAATCCAGATAAAATCCAGATTTAATCCAGATGAAGGAGTCATAGATCATTAGGTGAAACCACAGACTTCTATTAATTTTAACAAAGGAAATCTGTACAGTGTGTATTATTCTGTAATGAGCCATGCAAAAAAAACATACCTGGAGGAACTGTGAGTGCTGCTCTCTGAAGTAAACATTCAGCATAGCAAATTTCTGCATGGATTTCCTCTAGTGTTACATGGAGCAGGAAAAAACAATAATCAGGTGAAAAATAATTTAAAAATACTTAGACCACTAATAAAGGAATAAACTCATAAATCTCAAACTGAGAAAAATCTTTTCTGAATTGGCTGCAGTGTTTCAGTTCTAGACTATCAAAGGAACTCCAAACAATAATGATACAGTTAGAGAAATTTTGCAGGAATAATGACTTCCAGAAATTCTTGGCTCTAGAACCTTTCTAGGCATTTTCCCGCTTCTTTCTAGGTATTTCCTTACACAGCAATTTTTGGAAATGCTGAGTCAGCAACCAATATAAAATAGAGATTTTATATATAGTGACACAGCAATTACCAAAACAGTGATCCAGTGATATTGTAAAGGACAAATCAGAAAATTTGTCAATGAGTCGGCAAACTGTAAGAACATGTTGTGCGAACAATTCAATACAACTCCAATTCCAGCAAAAAAAGAGGAAAATTAGAGATAATGTTACCTTCAGTGAAGTGTTCAAGGCTTTGTCTATGCACAAGGTTGTTGATGGAATCAGCTACTGTAGATTTCTTCCTAAATCTGCAGAAAAGTCAGTTTGGTCATTCTGAACATGAAGCAAGATGTGAACCCTTTCAGCTGGCCATCTATATAGTCACCAGCGTACCTCTAGTATTCACCAACCCTCTGTCGTCTCACTACATATGCAAACTTGAGCATATTCCACATAGACCTTGGTCAACATGATCCTCCTGAGATCTGTCTTTTGTCTTTTGTGCACAGAAATCCATTTTGATAGTGGAAGGGGATAAGGAGGCTTTTGATTCATTCTGTGCGTGCATGTGTGTACAGAACTGGGAGCACTGCTGGCTCAAAGACAGATGGCTACAGCACAACCATCACTAAAGGGAAGAACTGTGCTGCATCTGTAAATGGTAAATAGCCTCCAGACACTGCAGAACCAGGGCAACAGATAGGACAAAAAAGTTAATTGACAAGAAAAATCAGATACTGCAGTAAACACAAGTTTTCTGGACAAGAATGCTGAAAACCCTAAGTGATGTGGTCTAACCTCATTATCGACCCTCCTTTCATCAGGAGGCTGGACTAGATGACCTCTTGATGTCCCTGCCAACCTCTGTTTTCCTATAATTCCTATGAAATTACATATCTTTTTCTAACCTGGATGTCTTTCAAGGCTTTTCCATGAATGGACTATTTATTGACTGAATTGTCCCACACTTACTTTTGACAGGTGGCTTGAGCTTCTTTCATTGTGTTTCCTGCATTCATTATGTCCTGAGGATCAAATGTCATCATAGCTTGCATTTCCAGTATGGTGGCATAAGTCAGTGCATGATACATACTGTCTTTAGTTCTGCAAGAAAAAACACAAGATTCAAAGAACAGCTGCTTTGATTTCATAATTACTTACCAAAAAAAAAAAAAAATCCAACTCCAAAAACTAGGTCCAACTGAACTAGAAATCAAACACAAAGGACATACAAACAGTTACTATAATCAAGAAATGCTAACAAATTCAGATTTGTGGAGGAAAACACGACTGCATCTCCAGTTTCAAAAACTGTGCTAAAATGTTCCAGTTCTGAGCTAAAGATAGGTATTTAACATACCTGAAGTACAGGAATTATCTGCATGGCTAACCATTCAGGGAAATCAAATCTTTTTTTTTTTTTTTTTAATAGATTACCTAAATGAACTCTACAGCACGTGACATAAATCCAGACATCATTCTTCTATTTTAGGACAGTTACTCAGGACAGACTCAAGGAGATATGTAACAGAATACTATAACCCTGGTCAAAATAGCATCTTTTTTCAAACAGATCTTCCTACCAGAAGCATTCCAGTCTAAACCAAACATTATAGCTTTTTCTTCCCCTCCACTTCTGCTAACCTTCCGCCCCATGCATTCCTATGAGATGTCAGATGATGCTTCTTTTACAGAAAGCTTAAAAACTTTGACAATAATGCAAGGGAAGACAAGTAAATTCCATTTGCAGCCATTGCCAGCACCTTTTCTCTGTTGGGAAGGGTTTACATATTGCTTGCATTTACAGCATTCATGCAGTAGCCATGTATGTTATAACCACCTGCAAATGAATCCAAATATCCTCAGGCCTAGAGGTCCAATCAAGATGACTTGGGAAACAGGTTGAAGAGAAAGCTCAGATGAATTCCTGCCACAGGAACTCTGTGGGCCTTGCTAATTCACCCATGACAAACTCCATGACTTAGACAAACACTGCTAAAGAGCTACATTTGTTATTTCCATTGTTTACACTTTTAGAATGGATCAGATAGTTCCCTACTGCAGGGAATATACACAAATACCTGCAATCAAACAGTACGCCTATTCTCCATACATGCACTTCAGGTGTTTGTTTTTCAAAATGAGTGATCTCGTTGTGTTTTTTTTCCAAGCAGAAAGTGATGTGCCAGCAACATGCCCCTGAGAGCTAATAGCAATCTGGGCTGAGACCTTACTTGAGCAAGCAGATGAACAAGACCACCTCCAGAGGTCCCTTCCCACCTTGGCCACTCCATGATTGTGTGATTTTATTTTAAGGAGAAAAGCCATGCTCTAAGGACACCTCAATTCACCCACTTCCTCTCCCAGGAAGACATTTGCCTCCCCAGGTTTTGATACCTGGATTGTACTGAAAGACAATGTTATGGTAGCCTAAGACAACCCTGCATTGACCTGGACAGTCACCCCAACAGTGATCTGGTAACTCACGGTGCTGGTCTGAATCTACGCATTGATTCTTTCGCTTGGTGGAGTAAAAAACCCTAAAGTGTCCTCAGGAGTCCCTGATGTTTGGTTAATATTTTCCGGAGACTAAAAAAATAACCTCTTCTATATCTAAAGTAACCCCCTCTTGATGACACTACACAATGAAATCACCAAAAAGAAATCCCAGTGATTATATGATCCTGACTCGCCTCGTTATATGTATGTTTTGAGATCTAGGGATTAAAATAATACCTGGTACCGGCACAGACAGCATTACACAGATACCTGGTGCTTCCCTCGCCACCCTCTATAACGATGCCAAAGGGCTATTTTTTCCAACACATGGCACAGAGCAGGCAGGCTGTACTGAAGAAATGTGCAGTGCACATCTTTAAGCCACGGAGCAGTCCAGTGTTCTGTGACTGTCCTTAATTCCTCGTTGCTCACACCATGTCCACAGGTTACCTAACAAGCTGCTCTAAGCAACCTCTAAACCCATCTAGCAGAAAAGCTGTGTGGGGAAATCACCTACTGCTGTAAGTACTGGGAGCCCCTGAACTATACTGACAGCCATCTCGTTTCCAATGTGATAAAAGAACAAACTAAGAATGGAGAAATTAACTTAAAATCCAGCAGAGCCATGACAGCTCTGTCTTGGCCTCCTGGATCAAGATTCTTTCAGTAGACTGACAATGCAAAGCAGAAAAAAAAAAAAAACATATTGTAATATGCCAACCTGATGAAGTGTTTCTGTTCACTTGATTAGTCATCAGCCGCAGCGGGCACAAAGAAACACAATTCATCTCACCTTTATTAAAATAAAACCCTTTCCAAGTTTCACATTCAATGCACAGGAAAGGCACTAAAATAAACCTCTTCCAAAATTTTAGAAATTTGCTTTCAAAATCAAAGCGGATAAACATTAAATCCGCTGTAGTGAAAGGAAAATTTATACTTTCAAGTATACAATGGTGAAGAGGGATTTTTCTCTCCAACAATTTGCTTCTGATGCAAAATCACTCCTTCCCTAATCAATGGTTTCATCTATTTTGCTTATAGTATTTTACAGGAGATTAAAGTAGGGTAATGTTTCTCATTATGCAACTGGTATTTATCAGCATCAAAACTTAGTATTTTTTTTCTTCATCTGGGAGATAGACAGCAATGCAACCATTTGTAAACAAATGTAGCAGTTATCTAAGCTATTTATGCTAAATGAATAACCGAAACTGCCAGTTATGTTTCGTTTTAAGGCCTGCATTTTATATGGATGGATTCAGGATGAAATATAACAGGCCTTTTTTTTTCCCCCTCAGGACATTGTTGAAGGACATGATTTTTATCCAAACACTTTCTAGACCTTGAAGCTACCTCCATGTGCTCCCCCTTACTCTTGTACTGCTCAGTATGACAATCACACACCTTCTTGGCTAGTTCTCATGGCATGCTCCAACACCTCACTGAGCAGCATCACATTTGCTTTTGCTCTACAGTACAAGAACATTTCATCTCACAATGAAGGCAGACATTAAAAGGTTCCCATTCAAACCTTAATAACCTTTAAAAACTTAGAATACAAAAAATAACAAATTACAATATTGTAATTTGGATTAAAAAAATTCCAGTGATGGTAAATAAGTATTCTAGAACTCCGCTATGCAGAGTATAACAGTTGTATAAGTAACCATCAAAGCAGTACCAGAATGTCTCCGTACCCACCTGACATATTCATACATCACAGGACTGAGCTTACCTTTCAGACGCAGTCACTCTGGAATTAACATTCTACCAGCATCTCCAGTGGCTTTGGGGAGACTATTTCCAGGTTAAAGTCAACTGCCCAGAATGAATCACTCTCGTTTTTATAATATTGCAAGCAGCAAGACAGATGTGTTGCAGCTTACCCAATGATCCAGATTGCTCTGCGTCATGAATTTATCTTTATTATTTACTATTCTCCCAAGCAATCTGACATCAGCAAACCGTCAGGTGATTATGCCATGCTTTCCTTCAGGATAATTGTTAAAATATTAAACATTTGTTTCACAGAAAGGAAGGGGAAATCTCACTGTTATCAACTCTTTCAGTGCTAATTATCTGTTTGCAATTACAAGTGAACAAAAACCTAGTCAGCTTTTAATTGATTTGCTGTATCTTGGGGTTGAGGAGGAACAGAAGATTTGTCCCCACCCCTGAGACAAGTCAGTTTTAGTGTTACCCATTGTCACAGTTACCAGGGTGTATATTAAAAATAAACATTTTGTTTGGGAACTAAATTTGAGAAATTTCTTGGTGCTCTTAGTCTGAATATGAATATTCCATATAAGAGATTAAACTAATTAAACCTACTGCAGGAACCACAAGAGAACCGGAGCCCACAGTTGAGCAACGAGAGTTTTAATGATAAGAAAGAAAACTAACTCTAAAACAAAAAAGGTAGCTGAGGAAACAAAATGTTATATAACATGAAGAAAAAACACCAGACTAAGATTTTTATGAAACAAGTCCTCATCTTTATGGAGCATATGTTTTTTTCTAACAGGAAAAAAGAGCTTTATCTCAACACAAGTCTAGACAATATCCTTAGATATTTCTTTTTAAGCTGCTAAGAGAGATCTTCCGATTTTAATTCTCATCCATTGCCAAAATCTGTTCTCAGCTACACATGGTACAAATCAGTTGGAAATACATTTATTGTGGAAGCCAAATGTGAGTAATTTAGTGAATCTGCAGCAATGTAATACAGAGCAGAGTATGTCCTACAACATCTTAAGTGGCAAAGCTGCAAAATTTAGGATAAGATATTCTTTACAAGCGTGTAAAAACTGAAAAGTATTTCTTTAAACAAAGATAGTATGTTTATGGACTGTGAAAACCAATTTCAAATCTCAGCATGCTAAAAGGCAGCAGTGAGGAATTGATGACTCCCAAAGAAAATACTCAGTATTACCACATGTGCCCACTCCACAGCTCTTGTCGTTCCCTGAAGAGATGGAGTGTGTTCATAATGGATATCATCTGTGGGGAAATTTAGCATCCTGGTTCTGCGATACACTTGCAAAGATCATAAGCCTGTATTTCCCTGCTGCCAAAGGACAACAGGAATAAGGCCTCCTTGTAACAGGCTAACATGAAAAACCTGTTTCAAAATGGTTTTGCAATATGCAACACACTCAGGTACAAAAATGGAATGGCAGCTCATGAAATGTATTCTGCAGGGCCTGACAAAAGCTGAATGGAAACCATATGCAATACAAGAAAAATGGATTTATGGGGTAAAAAAATACCACAGCCACACAAGCTTTTGCAGTGCTTTGGGATCTCCAAAAGTATCTCCCCATTCTGTGCTAAACACTGAGTAAGCATTTCCAGATGGGCACAGGGGCTTTACCATCAGAACTTAATGACAACAATTATTCTTGCCATTTCAATGATATCTTCTGATGATACATAAACACAAAACAACACTGCTGTGAATAAACCCAGTGTTAGTAATATGCCTGAGCCTACCATTTATTATGAATGTCTTCCACACTGTGTACTTAAATGGGTAAGCTACAGATTCTGGTACCAAAGACTGAGGCCGATAGCCCAGCAAAGCAAATCAGATTTATCCCTGATGCATTTCTAACACACGCTCCTGCCAGGGCAGTCACAGCTTGGGGAGGACTTGGGAAGAGGAAGCAAAGGAGATGCAGAATACTGACGACTACACTCATGTATAACACGAGTGAGGCGAGTAAAAGGTAATTGGGTGGAAAGGAAGCTGATGCAACCTGATCGACCTGCTGCGCCTGCTGAGGACATCTGAGGCCTCATCCTGGTCTGTAGCAAATGTAAAGGGTCATAATGTTTACTGAAAAGTGTTTGCATGTGCCTTCTCTGAACTTCTGCATGCAAGTACCCAGAGCTCTATTACATGACCCATTAGATCACTGATAACCTCAAACACTTCTCAAGTCATGCAGTCAAAGATAAAGAAAAAGACAAATTGAACTGGCAAAAGAGAGGGCCTGTATCACCTGTGAATTTTACTTTTTTGATAATCCAGTGACCTGGAAGAACATACAATGTCATTTCCTGCTAGCTCAAAAATACATGGTGCAAACTGAGGGAAAAAAATGCAAATTAACCACAGACTTCAAGAATCCAAGAGCACAGGTAACTTAAGGCCAGGGTATGAAAAAAAAAATCACAGAAACTGATGAGACAATTTTTAGAAGTTATTTTTTGACCTCACTGCTTGCAGCCAGGCAACATATAATGAGGAAACAGAATGCACGACCGCAGCACTGAACTGTAAAATAAGCTGTGAGAAAGTTTCTGCAAGCAGTTAGGTATTTGAAAATAAATAAATAATCCAGTCACAAAGCAAACTTATAAATTTAAATTCAAACCTACAGTAACACATCTCAAGCCTGACGACACCCTGTCAGTTGCTGATTTAGGCACAAAACTACAAACTTGGCTGTATGTGAGAAAATGGGGCGGGGGGTGACAGAAGTCAGACTTAATTCTTTCCAGAGTTAGGAATCTCACATACTGTGCTACAGCTAAATGGTTACTTCTCTGGATAGCAATTCAGTACTTTTTGTAGTTACCTTTGATCAATCACATTACTTACTCAACCACATGTAAAGCACTTATTCTGTCTTGCCAAAAACTTAATATATTATTTACCATCCCTTTCTGAACCAAAACCATAGTCTTATCAATTATTGATAGAGAACTAGCTGTCTAGGCAATTCTCGTGAGATGGTGAAGCAAAGAAAGATAAACAAAGGGAAACTGGTATAAGTAACCAACTTACTTTGCTTGTAAAGAAGCCAAAGCATCTGAGAACTTGTTGCTAAGAAATAAATCCAGAGCTGCCATGCACTCATGCAATGCCGTGTTGAGGTCTGACGTTGGTGACCTGCCAGAAGAAGAGAGAATAAACTCAGCACATCTGTTCTCCTTCTACCAGTGCATTACTTCTACATTTCAACTTCCCATCTTCAGTGCTAGCCTTCCCATTGCCTTCCTAATTGTAGCAATTTTATGAGCTCATTTCTCATGAACACAGAAGCACTGGGTGACAACACACACTTTGTGTGTAAGGCTCACAGAGATGAGACGTTAGTTTGATTGCCTTTTTCTTAAGGAAGAGATGTTTCCAAACTGCATCAAATTATTATTTTGCCTGCTGCTGTAACAGCTGCTTTAGTTCAGCTCACATTCAGCTTGGTTTCTGCCCAGTAGACTACTACTGCTCACAGGTTGGCTAAAATTTCACATTGTGAGTGCTGCCGGGAATGTCACTGTCCTTAAGAAGTGATGCTGCACTCAAACAAAAAACTGCTGCTGCATCTCAGAAGTCAGAAGATTATCTTTGTGGCTTAGTCTGACTGTACTTTTCTCCTTCACAGCATTTACATGTCAGCCTGACCTTTCACGGGGGTTCTCAGCTGATCTTTGGGTTACTGGCAATGGGATAAGACAGGCCAGCTGAAAAAATTTGGCCCAACTTCCTCACCATCAGAACTGCTGGACAAAAAACCACAGAAGAAACAAATTAGACCTTGCACTAACAAAGTTAAAGTAACCTGGTCAGTGTCAGGACAGATGAAACATCTGCATCTAATGATCAAAGAGCTATATTGCATTAATATGTCGTATCCAAGTCTGTACACAAAATTACCACAACAAAATTAAAAAAAAAAATCCTCATTGGGTTTCTGACTCCACCAGCCAAAACACACAGTCTGCTGAAAGAACACCAGGAAGCAAAATCCTGATATCTTCTTAAGGAAAAAAAGATAGGGGAGCACAGAACAAACAGATAGCATCAGTAATAACCGCTTCAGCTGCGTTTCAGTTTTGACTTTATGAATAATGACTGCAAAGAAGAAAGGGCAAAATTATACACAGGAAAATCGGGATTATAAATCTGAGAGAAACATCACACGACGCCATTCACAGTGGCTGCTGACTTCACACTTGAGATACGCTGCAAGTCGTCCTGCACCCAGGAGACTCCCCAAGTGCTTTGCAAACATTGATTAACCAAGTCTTGGCATCCGCCTCACACAAAATGCAATATCACGTCTGCCCACCTCCTGGAATCTATTCTGAGCCTCGCTTACCGTAATAACTAAAACTTTGCCAATCACTGTTTGTGTGTATTGCAGTTCTTGCATGCCTTTTTAAACCTGTAGCCCTGAAACAAACAGCAGATTTAGAAGTGCATAAAACATACTTTCCTCTGCTTTAAAATATTTAGACTAGCAACATTTTTATGTTTTTGTTTTGATATGTTTCCCTCCACGCAGAGAATTACAAATCAAACCCCATTCAATACAATTAAACCTTTTCACAGTACTCCTTTTAAAACAGAAAGATGATTTTCAAAAAAAACAACACATGCTGTTGAAGCTCAAAGCACAAACAAGATGCACTGATTACTTGGCATCTTTGCAGGAGTAAGAATTATTAGCACAGTGCCACCCCCAGCAGCAGCAAAACCCAAGTTGTGCACCTCCCCGGTGCTCCAGGGAAAGCAGACATTTGATGTAGCTCCCAGGTAAAGGGCTCACAACCTGAACTAGGGCACACGCCTCTCATCAATGCTACAACTGATCGCTTATAGCCGTATAAAGGGAAAAAAAGCCAGACTTCCAACTCGAAAACACTGAGCCTTTTAGCAAAGTGATTAGTCATGCTTCAGCGAGCGGGTTGCGGATCCTCTCCTGCTTTCCACTGTAAGATCAGCACCACCCCTGCCCCAGAGGGGAAGCCGGGAGCCCGGCCACCTACCTTTCCATCAGCCCTCCGGTGTGCTCTGACATCCTCACCCGCACTGCGCCCGCGGGGCGGCCGGGCAGCAGCACCCAGCAGCAGCAGCAGCAGCAGGCACCGGGCGCTGCTCCGCACACGCAGGGCAGGGCAGGGCACTGAGCATCTCGCTGCTCCCCGCCAGGGCACCACGCTGCCCCACGCAAGGGGCAGGAACCGCTGGGCACCGCTGGTCTGGAAGGTGCTGGTAGCTGCCGGCCTGAGCTGTGATCTGCAGAGCTGTCTGTCACGCAGCGCGAGCGAGGCAGAAGGCAAGCATCCCTGTGATCAGGGAGCTGAATCAATGACAATGACTGCACGCAGCAGAGGACCACGTTGGAAGCCTGGGAGCCAGGAGGGAGAGTCAAATGAGGCCAGGCGAAACGCAGGAGAGCTGAGGCAGGAATTGCTGAGAAGCAGACAGGTGAGAGAGACAACAATGTGCTTCTTCCCAGCAAGGAGTCTCCGCAAAACAGGCTTGAGTCCACAACCAAACTGCAGGTTGCTGGGGGTTCCCAGAGCTTCAGGAGGCTTTCATGCAATCACAGAGTGGTTTGGGTTGGAAGGGACCTTAAGGATCACCTAATTCCAACCCTGACCATGGCAGGGACACCTCCCAGCAGCCCAGGTTGCCCAAAACCCCTTCCAGCCTGGCTTTGAGCACCTCCAGGGATGGGGCAGCCACAGCTTCTCTGGGCAGCCTGTTCAGTGCCTCACCACTCTCTGAGTAAAGAATTTCCTCCTTCTAATCTAAATCTATCCTTTCTTAGTTTAAAACCATTCCTCCTTGTCCTATCACTATACCCCTGACAAAGAATCCCTCCCTGGCTTTCCTGCAACCCCTTTAGGTACTGGAAGACCACTATAAGGTCTCCCCAGAGCCTTCTCTTCTCCAGACTGAACAACCCCAGCTCCCTCAGCCTGTCTTCATAGGAGAGGTGCTCCAACCTCTTTATCATCCTCGTGGCCTCCTCTGGACTTGCTCTAATACGTCCATGTCCTTCTGGTGCTGGGGCCCAGAGCTGAATGAAGGTTCCAGATGGGGTCTCACGAGAGCAGAGCAGAGGGGCACAAACCCCTCCCTCACCCTGCTGGCCACGCTGCTTTTGATGCAATACATTTTTTTACAGTCTTTGTAAAATTCTCTCTTTAGAGTCACGCAAAATGGGTTGGCATAAACAATTGAATCAGTGGAGTGAGCTCATCTGGCCGATTTTGTCCAAAATAAAGCAGTGTATGCTCCCCAACTGCTTTGCTGGCACATCGGCAGCACTGGTCCTGGGCCCAAGGGCAGCAGCTGCAGCCGGCAGCACTGAGCTCGCTCACCAAGACAGCTGGACTGGGCAAGTTGTTCAGTTATGATCTAATTTATCTAAGTTAGTTTCTCCAAGAGCACATAATCTAATGTCAAAAATTATGTGTCCTTCCTCCTGTACATGGTCCTATTTGTTAGATTACACACGGCAATCCTGATGTCAGCTGCTGAAGGAAGACCCAAAAACCAATAAACAAGCAGATGATAATTTCAGGAAGATACTCTGAGACATTAACACACCTGATTAAATCTCTTGCTGTTTTATGACATCCTGTACAGGAAAAGCCTGTGTTGCATTTGGTATAAAAATTACCCTAATAGAGCCACAGGCTGCCCTTTAATGGCTCCTTACAAGTCTGTAACAGCAGCGCATACCTGGGCTACAACCAGACATAAAAGACATCACTGCTTTTTTCCCCACTTGGGAATAACTGCTAATTACCACTTACAATTAACCAAGGTGCTTCTACGCCATGATCCCGAGCTACTCGGGAAGGACTGTTCATCATTTTCAGTAGCTGTTTATCCCATGTCTAGCTGATATTGTATGGCCAAAATTGTCCTTTGGAGCTCTGCATGGTGAGGGCTCTGCCTGTCCCTGCCAACGTCTTCAGGACTTGAGCTGGCTGGTTTGTCTTTGAGCATCACTTGTCCAGTAACAATTACACTCTCAGACCTTCAGCATGAAGCTTCTCTTCCAACACACATACCAATGTTTTCTTTGAACTAAATGAAACAAACCGAAGAAATTAAGATCAGGAACATCTCCACATTTAGGCTCTTTTCTCCTCGGTTTTGAAAGCTTCTTTCCGTTTCCTGATTTTTGGCTGCAGGTCTTGTAAGGACAATCAGATGGTTCTCATTGTGGCCTGATTATTTATGAAATCATCGTTCTCTGCCCTGGGGACCACAGCTGGGGTGCTTCACAAATCACAATTCCAGTATATCCTGTGGCTTAGTGTAAGACCTGATCCCACTGTACTGCATCCCCACTGCCTCTACTCAGAAGCACAATTACTCAGGACATCTTAGGGCAACGCTCTTTTTGCTTAAACATCAAATGCTTTTTATCCAAACAGCAACAGTGCTTAGTTTGCTTATATATTTCATTCAAAATTAAATCCATGAATCTTAACGAAAAGTAAAGCGTTCTCCAAAGCACAAGAACCAGGATGTTTTGCATGGTCAAAAAAAGGGAGGGGGAGATATTTTGGAGGATGGGGGTTACAATGTTTCTGCATAGGTTTTATTTTCCTGCATGCGTGATGTTCACTCATTTCTTACTGTAAGTTTTCAGCACATATGCTGATATGACTTGTCATTGGCTTTATGGATTTCTTTAATAAAAAAGAATCTTGAAACTCATGCTCTACAAAACGCTGAACAACTGACCCATCTGAACTCAGTATTTATCTGACCTTTGGAGAAAAAAAAAAAGATAAGCCTGAAGTTTGTGGCTACAAACCTTTATAATAATGCTTTTGATAATAATTCAAGAGCTCCTTCAGTATTGTGAAATGCCAAGAGCAAGTTAAATCAGTCATATCAAAAACACGGACACGTTTCTCTGCTAAATCTACGTTATCTGTGTAAATCAGCTTAGGTTACGTGCACAGATGCCTTAATTTGGAGGAGGAGAATAAGAAACAGAGTTGAACAGAACCAAACTGCCCAGTCCTTGATGGAAACCACCCCAGAGAGAACCAAGTGCTGGTGACTCGGTAGCCACCTCTTCCCCCCACAACCAGGAGACACAGGGAGCAGTGGAAGCGCCCCCTGTTTTCACAGCCACATCTAGTCACTAACACTTAAAGCAAGTGAGAGGCAAGATCAGACAAAAGCATCCAAGGGAAAGATTATCTTCCAGTTCCAAAGGAACTTCTCTGCAAAACCTCTGTAATCATACCAGGGACCTTCTGTCGCAGGGCTTGCACAGCATTAGCACAATTGTGCTCAGTAATGACTGGCACCGCTTTAATCTTAGGCAGAAACATCAGCAGAGCTACTCCAGCAAATGCCAGGCTGGGTTCTGCCTTCACCCCAGCGGTACCTGCCTGCAGAGAACGGCTGCCTTCTGCTGCTGCTCTTCCACCAAAGCATTTCTGCAGCCAGCAGGGACTGCTCGGCACATGGCCTTGCTGCACCAAAGGCAAGGAGCACGTCCCGTTCATCTGAAGGGCTGCAGATTCAGCTCACGAGTTTGTCCCCACTTTGTTTGTCCCCACGCTCAGATCTGATTTAAGACACCTCCAACATAACACAGCTTGGCTTGCCGACACACCGGGTACCTTTCCACTGCACATCTTCAGAAACATCACCATTGAACAGAACAGAACCAAAACAATCTGCTCCATTATCATGAAAAGAAGAACCAGTCTGGTTAATAATTCATTCGCATTCAGTTTTCAGACAATGCACAAGCTTTCTCATAATTTGGAAGCAAATAAGTTTATGCAAGAAAATTAATTCTACCATACCCCTTCCTGATCCGTGTGCCAAGCGAGAAATACCTCAGCGTTTATCTTTGTGCTCTCAAACACATTTGTGGCCTGTGACTAACACTCCCGGGTGCTGCAGAAATGTCACTGCTTCTACCAATAGCACAGCAATTGGAAAGGTTTGAAGTATGGAAAACACAAATGCAATGCAATTCTGCAATTCGAGAGACCTTAGTCAGTACTTCAGGTTGCACAGGGACCATGACACAGTCCTTTTCCAGGGCTAACTCAGCTCTGAAAGCGCCAAGCTGCTGGTGTCTCAGCAACATTGGAAACTTTCTGTTAAAAATACGCTCGTGCTTTTGGCTCTCACGTTTCAGAAAAAGCTCACGGAACAATGGGATGTGGCAAAGCAGTCATGGGAGAGGAACAAAGTCCAGCAAAGACTTCTGTCGTGCCCTCGGTCCCACCACTGTTTAACTTGCACCGAGCAGGATCTAGGTTGCATTACGTTGACAGTTCTCATCCTGTATTTGAACAGGCAAACAATGCAATAAATTCATTTAGGTAGATTTGTTCAGACAAATGAAAAGTATTTGTGTCACTTTTGTGGCTCCCTTTCCATGAGCAGGGATGTTCTACTGACACAGCTGCTTACAGAGGGCTAAATGCAGCACTGGGGGAGATCAGTCCCAGTTAGTCAAACTGCCTGCACCAAACACAATGAGAAAAAATTAAGATTATCAACCCAGCCTCCTAAAGCTGCACTAACCGGTTGGAATGCACACAGTAAAATCAGCTCACACAGGGTCAATATTAAAAGAAAACAAATACATTCAGCATTACAGGAATTTACAGGAACACTGCAACTCAGAGTAAATTTTCATCTGTAAATCAGTCTGCGTTAATGCTTAACTTTTACCAGCTCCTCTTTACCAATTAAAATACTCTACAATTTATGACAATTTGAAGTACAAATGTAATTCATATTATGGCTTTTTTTTTTCTTTTTTCTTTTTTTTAAAGAGTTTTAAGGTATTTAGACTACCTTACAATACCCATTTGCCCTTTTTCCCAAATCCTCTAATGTCTCAGTTTTACTACGTGTGGTCACCCTACACCTCTGATTCTGACTTTTTAGAGGCCTAATCCTGTTCATATTAAAACTGATGAGAATTCAACAAGAGCTGAGCCAGATCATTGTCCTGCACTAGTGCTGAGCACACCTAGGTACACAGCATGCACACACAAAAAGGCTTTTGCAAAATGCAAGTTCATATCTGACATGTTCATCATAAGAAGCCAGAAAATATCCATTAATTTTGATTTTTGAAGTAGTACAAGATCAGGCTAGAGGTCTGTGAAGTTACTGACATAAGATTCAGCGGGAAGTGAGGGAGCGATATTGGAGAATATTCACTTTTGGTTGGATTCTCCACTGCCTACCAATAATCAACTGAATAAAGAGTGATTGGTAGGTCCCGAAATAGCTAGCCCTACTTCCTATTTCAGCGTTTTGCAAAGTCTGGTTTGTACTTTTTCATGTTGGCTTACACTCCGGCTCTTTCAGATTTCAATGAGATGAAAATATGGAAGGGATGAAATATACATTTTGGCCCAAAATGTATTCTTCCAGCCTTATTTATTCTGAGCTGCAATGTTTTGTTTGTTTTGTGTTAAAAATATGCAAATCTTTTTCTAAATGAACTACTCGGTCATGTTTTATTGCAACTTAAAAAAAGAAACCATGCTTTTGTTCCAACTCCATTGCTGAACTGCTTTATGCTCTCATCAAAATTACATGTAGGAACAACACAAAAAAATTTTGCACAAATAGGGGATTGCTGCTTAGCCTTTCATCATTGCTTTGCATGAAATTTCAAAGCATATTTCCCTGAAAGCTTCCAATAAACTAACTTTGTGTTTGAGAAGTTATCTGCACAGCATACTTCATGGTACCTTGGCCAATAACAATGCCACATTCTCTCCAATTAAATAAAAATTCAAGCACAGTACTTCAATACAACCCTTTTATAATTCTCTTGAACCTGAGAATTGAATCAATACCCAAGAACAGAAAAAAAAAGCACTAGTAGCAAGTTTTCTTGGCACTCAGTGCTTCTAAAGCCATTTTCAACATTATTCTTAGGCACAACCGCCTCAAGAGGCAGACAGTTATTATTCTCCCCATTTCACAGAGTGCAGAAACAACTGAGAAAGCTACATGGGGACTGAAAAAATAAAAAGCAGGGACGATTTGGGACTTGGAAACAGAGCAGTCTGGGAACTTTCTGGCATTTTTTCCATTTTTGACAAGAAACAGACATTGGTCAAAAAAAAAAAATTGACACAGATGTAGTGAGAAGATTTCACCAATTCAGGAAAACAATTTTATTCAGAGCCAAAGAGAAAGAAAGTAAAAAGCATGTGCAAGGTCTGTAGTGCCTTCTATCTGATTTGCATTCAAGATTTAAGCCGTTAAGCCAAGTACATCTGAATGCCCACCCTGATATTTAGGCCATCTTTTCACTATTGCTTGTCCACAAAAGACAACCAAATTTTGTTATTATCAAAGTGAAGACAAAAGCTGAAAATAGGCAAAATGCAAGGTCATTTTCCATCGCCTCTATTAAAAAAAAAAAAAAAAAAGGCATTTTGTTTTCAGTTCCAAGCAGTCCACTAGACCATCATGTCCTCCAAACATGACCTAATAATTTCACTCTGTTCCCAAAACACGTCCAAAACCTAAGAAACCACAAGCTCAGCCCTACAAAAGTGTTTTCTAGGATCTTCAATGCGGTTTTAAAGGTGCGGTTTTGAGTAAAATGGGAAGTATAATATGGAAATAGTAATATTTTTCCCAATAATTAGTGAAAACCTGAAACATAATGCAACTTGTTTTCAGCACTTTGTAGCACAGTAACTGAAACATCTGAAGTACCTGACATCCCAGGGCAATTCCAGGCTGGAACACCACAGCTGATTCCAGTAGATGGAGCTACAGAAAGGAGAAGAGGACCCAGCACCAAGTTCTCCACAGCTTCACCAGCACACCCTGACTTTTGGGACAGCCTGCCCAAACCAACACCACTCAACAAGCTGCTGCTGCTTCTGAGCGCTTTTGCAAACATCCTTCTGCATGCTCAAAACATCCTGAAGTGCCATGAAGCCAGGGTCGCAATCTCTCAGTCCTTTTGCTCCTGCTATTGTCAGTACAAGCACAAGAGCTGGAAGCACAACAGTCTTTGAACAATGTCATTTAAAATCATCGCTGCAAGCGTATGACCTAACTTTCCTCCTAGAGTAAAATAATAATAATAATAAAAAAATATCGGTCCTTTAAAGAGTTGTTGAGCTAGAATGTGACATCAACAAAAAATGAGCGCGACTGTATAGCTTACATAATCTAAAATGCAGGAAATGTTTTCTGCCACGGTTTCTGCAGACCACTTAACGCCTCAGACCGATGCTGTTTTCAACATTAAAACACGAGGAAAGCACCCAGGCAGAGATGGAGCACAACACCTCTTCGACACTTCTCCAAGAGCCACAAACGGACCCTTGACCGCCCTTCTGAGTAGAGAAACGCCCTCCAGGAACCACAGCCCTGCAAGTTTTACCCCACGCAGCCCATAAAGCAGATGGTTTCAGAAGTCGTGTCAGCCAGGGAAGCCATGAACAGGCCTCGATGCACCTGCCTGTAACAGTGCAACGTGTCGTCGCCACCAAGGAAGAACATTATTTGCACACTGATTCAGCCTGCGTAGGAACAACTCCCTCAAAGGCACACAGTGCAAGTTTATGTGCTTTAGGGGCAAGGGAAGGCTTTTAGGGGCACACGTGGAAGGGCTGAGGGAAGCGATCCCCCTGCTGCTGCGGGCAGGTGGCGGGGAGCCCTGTGGTGACTGGGGGTGCTGGCAGCTCGGCGGGGCAGGACTCGCTCCTCCGGGCTCTCCCACAGACTTCAGAGGCCGAAATCGCCCCGCTCTTGAGTGAGACGGCGAAGACAAAGTTAAATTTGCATGCAGCTACTGCAGGACTGCAAGCGCAGGTAGGTGATTTGCTTACACCTCCTACGCAAAAAAAAAAAAAAAAAAAAAAAGGTACCTACAAGAGCAAGCCGCCTGCTGCCCCCTCAGTGGTCCCGTTCGAAGGGGGGCAGCAGCAGGGGGAACTCCATTCCCCAGCCATGCCCAGCCGGCCGTCAGCCCCCTGTCCCCCCCATAAGCCGGGACGGGGCCGTCCCGAGCCCGCAGCGCCGCCCCCGGCCGCCCCCCGGCCCCCTCAGCGCCGCGCTGAAGGCGGCTCCCGCGCCCCGCCTCAGCCCCGCACCTGCCGCCCGCCGCGCGGGGCTCCATGGAGGCGGCGGCCCCGGCTGCAGCCGCTGTGGTACGAGAGGGAGGCCGGAGCCGAGGGCGGCCGCTGCTGGTAGTGCTGCTACTGCGGGTACTGCTCCTGCTGCTGCTGCTCCCCGGCGCGGGCGGCCGCCGCAGGCAGCTCGCATGGTGTGGAGCAGCAGCGGGCGGGAGGCTCGGCGCATGTTCGGGCAGGGCCGGGCCGGGCCCGCCGGGGCCGCCTCCGCAGGTGAGCGGCTGAGGCAGCGCCCGCCCCGGGGAGGCGCCGCTGAGGGGACTGGGGGGGCACAGGGCGGCCCGGGGAGCCGGGGGAGCTCTGGGTGCTGGGAAGGGGGAGGTGGGCAGGTGAGCGAATGTGGCACCAGCCCCTTCACCTCAAGGGCATGTTACCAGCTTTTCAATTCAGCCCTAAGCTATGAAGCGTTTCCAAACACAAACTGCGAAGAAATCATGCGCTATTACTTAATACACTCTAGGCTAATTAAGAGATTGTTTTTAAGTTTGTTCTTGCATTATTGATTCCGTTGCGTTAACATGAGAGCCATTAACTCCTGTTGTGAAGAAACAGGGAGCAAAATATAATCCGGATTTCCCAGAGTTTTGAATCAACCTACACTGGGTTAGCACTTGTAAAGGTGCAGCCCCCAGCCCCCCACACAAGGTGAGCAGGTTGTACTAAACGACTATCACCAGCAGTGCACACAGCTGAAATTTATCAGTTAATGAGCAAGTGGAGAGTAAGTTCAAGAACAAAGTAGGGGAAAAAAAGCAACAAACTACACCCCGATATGGAATACTGACACAACTGTTACCATTAGTTGCATATATTATAATCAGCAGTTGCATATATTATAATCAGCAGTAAGCTTCAGGCTTACAGGGGTAACAGGCTGTGGAAGGAAATGAACAGGGGAAAGAAGAGAAAGGTACACACAGAGGAGGGAGTGGCAGGACAAACAGAAAGGACGTGGTTGACATAATGAAACAATGGGCACATTAAGAAGAAGGAGGTGGATGAGGTTAAAAGGAAAAAGAATTTGTTAGCTGAACACTGGCAATGTGGTTCATGATGTGTGAAATACGAGGTAGGTGGCACCCCTGCCTCAAGCTCCGCTGCACAGGGTACAGATTTTTTGAGAGAAGCAAATTGAGAAGAATGCATTTGATCAATTTGAGCATGATTTGTTAGTCTGAAGAGCTGAAGACAGGAGAAAAAATGAAGTCTTAACTAAATCAAACACTTTAAATAAATGAGGGGCATTATAAGAAGTGGTGACGTGCACCTTCACAGCTACGTGGCACAGATGCAAAAACCACATTTTTTCAGCATAGGATACTTGTAACATACATAAAGCTTTCCCATAGGTGACAATTCCCTAGCACTGTGTAGGTACAGCCCGTTTTCAATAGCTAGTTGCATTTAACTATTTTTTTTTAATTTTATTTTTTTTAAATCAGTAGTCACCCCAGCATATAATTGCATTTTTCCCCCAACCTTTAGGAATTCATTGTTGTAGGGACAAAGCTAAAAAAGCTAGAACAGTAAAACAAGGGTTGCATCAATAACTTAACTGCAGTTTAAATGTATTATTTTCCTGAGTGTGTCATTGTACGTTCATGAACACACCAGTTACACTTTCATTATCTGACAGAAATATTTTCACAAAAATGAATAGCATATTAAAGGAAATTAGAGATTTTTAATCTCCAACTCTAATATTCAGCACATATTTTACATGCAATTTTCAGGCCTCTACCAAGCTATTTATTCAGTAAATAAGTATTAAATGTGAGCCTAAAAATGGGATTTCATACTACAAATTTCTCAGAACCATTTAGAACTCAGAGACATGAATCAATCTTTCAGAAGAGTATTTAAGAACAAGGAGGTGTTGATAGAGCTTCAGGTCATTTTCCTTAACACTTACAAGATGGATTTTACCTAAAGATCCTTTGAACTTTTCAAAATTAGTTTATGAGTTATATAAACCAGGTGTGGTCACATCTCAAGTGTGACTGCAGTCTGTGGAAAGTGATCCTAATGACCTTTTGGCTCTAAGTAGTACATTTTTAATGACAAAGATGCATATAAGAAGTTTTAACACTACAGTCGCAATGGAATAAATACTGAGTAAATACTGAGTCTGTCCACACAAGAAAATCAGTCTGAATAAGTGGATCAGAATTCTTTTATTGACTTGGGCACTGTCAGACACAAAAGAGAAAGCTGTCAGTATGTAAATAGCCTTACAAGGATCTCTTGCTGGCCAATGGCAGCTGGGACAGGCCTCTGAAGTGAAGGTAAGAATTTCAACCTGAATTATCAGCAAACTAAATCGTCACGCAAGAATATCTTGCTCAGAGAAGCGTTTCTGCCAATTTTTTTTATCTAATTCCAGTTGTTTGTATAGTCCTGGAGTGCAACTGCCTGATATACAAGCAGAAAAATACCATCTCTCTTAGCCTTAGAATACGCAGAAATAAAATAGGTTTATATTGTTTCTACTCTGCACAACGTCTTTCTTACTTTCAGCAGTTACATAATACACTATCAGACCCTTTGTCATTTAGAAAACAGGAAGCAGATGAAAATTACAGTGTTTTGTCCAAAATCATTCAATAATTCAGTGAGATAAGTAGAAACAACATCCTGACCTCTTAAATACACATCCAAACAATGCAGCATTTTCCCTATCAGCTCGTTGATTACCTTCTTTAAAAACTAATGCTTTTCATTTTCCATGTCAGGTCCTGCCAGTTCAATGTGTCTCAATTTTGCACAAGAAGAATTGTGTTCTGAACAAGAAATGGCAATGCAGCTGTTACTGATAGCCCATCACGTGATCAGTTCCTGATGGGAACGAATAACAGGGAAGATGGAAAGTTCCTTCACATCTTTCTGGGATGTAACAGATACAAGCCAAAATTCTTTGAGAGGCTTCCCACAAAAATTCCAAACTAGGAATTCTCATGCTTCACTATCAATATATAAACAAAAAAGTAGTTTTTGTTTGTTTGTTTTATTTTATTTTCTTTTGTCTCCCTGACTTTTCTGCACATAGAATTCCTTACATTGTGCTGTCCTCTCTCCCTACACAGGTACCAAATTACCATTCGTACAGGGCAGCGTGTGCAGACAGTGGCTTTCCTCTAACCGCAAAGCTCCCTGGAAACAGGAGCTCTATAGCTCTCTTGATAGCTTAAGAGTTTCACTAGATCAAATGCCAGACACATCCCTAGGGCAGAAAGATGTGAAGATTTTGTTTGCACAAGCATCAAGTGTTACAGCTTGGAAAACCTGTATCTGCCCAACTGGAAATTGCGCCCTTAGCCTCTGCTTCAAATTTGTTTTGCCCTTCCCTCACTGCGCTTTTAATTTTAACACTTACATCATGCTGCCAACAAGGAAGGCAACATGCAAGTTATCCTGCACAGAGTTCAACAGGTCAGTAACACCCATATAGGTAAAGTTCCACTCTACTTACCAAAGGAGTCTATTTCAAACTTGCAGAAGGTTACTGTCTACTTCTAGTTCTAACTGTTGACAATTTGCTTTTAATTCGACTTTTTCCTGTAGTTTTACAATTGCACAAGGTAAATCCTCTTCCATTTTACAGTAATGAATGGATATATTGGAATGCCAGCCATCACCCTAAAAATGAAATTAAATTCAAGAGTATTCACTGACATATTATGGAATTCTAAAGACATGTCTTGAATTGCCAATGTTTTGAACAGATAAGTTACTTTTCTCGTTTTATCCTTTTGTATGTTAGCCCTGTTCCCTCTATATCATCACATAATCATCTAAAAATACCACTCTATCAGTATTGCAAAACACGAGGTAGCACATTTGAAGATTGAGGCTAAAGCATAACTAAAACACTCCACTACTGAAGTTGTAGTTTTGCTAAAAATTCAAATTCTGAAACAGTGAATTTTTAATTTCAGTAGCTAAATTGTTGAGAAGTTAGCAGGGAAAAAACAGTAGGCAACATGGTTCTGCAGGCTGATGTTACTTATGCAAAGAAGTGACATGCAGCTGGAGTGTCAGGTGGAAAGGGTGGCACGGAAGTCTACAAACCTAAGAAACTGTTATGCCCAATATTGAGACCTAACACAACAGGTTTTAAGTATTAAGCAGAAGGGTTACTATTCCTTGTCACATCAGGTTTCCTGGCATAAAGTCCTTGATGCTGAAGCTTTCTAGACAACTCAACTCAGTATGTCAGGTTCTTTATTAAGCACCTTTATCACCACTTTATTCCATGCCAATACTTGGCAGTGATGTAACAGATCTTTAACATTAATTGCCAGCATATACCACTGATACAATTTTTAATTAAAAGTTACCTTGCATTGGAAATGGCCAATTTGTCTGCTAGACATTAGATTATCTCTTACATAAAGAGTACAATGGTCTGCCTGTGAATTCAATGAACTTTTACATGACATAACCTCATAATACAGTAAATTAGACAAAGATGGTGAGGATATCAAGTTATTCAAGATGAATAGCAATTGTTTTCAGTTTCATGATAGAATCAAATGAACAGAGACTTGAAAAAAAAGGACATCCTGCAGAGGGTGTCAAAATGGCCTCAAGAATACGTATTAAACTGATAAAATGAATGAACATATTATATTACCTAATCCATCTGATACATCATTAAAAGACAGCAAGAAAAAAAATATTTGGAAACACTTAGATGAGTAATATTTAAATCTATAATTGCTGTAGCAAAGTAAAAAAAATCAAATCAAAGACAGATGTAAAACAGTTTCTGGAACTCCAGAACCTCTGACCAAGCAGTCTATGTCCAGACCTTGACATGAAGGAGGCGTTATGCTGACATATTGAAAAGGATACACTCTGGGTCAAACTAAAGATCTGCCAAACCATATGAATTTGCTTTACGTTGCCAGCAGCTAGTATAGTATTGTACATATGTCACAAATGAATCCTAGACACATAAACATCTGGGCACTGCAAGCTTTGTGCAGGCAAAAATCCTTGGGCAAAAGTAGTCTGAATTTTTCTTTGAAGCTGCCACAGTTCCTAACAAAGTAAGTGACAGATGGGATTAATGTGCACTTCAGCTAACTACCAGATTCAAGCAATTTTTTTCTCTGAAAATTAACCACCTCCCATCAGACTACAAACAGAACACCTTGTATCATTCACATTACATTTACATTTTATTTTACAGCTCACAGCACCCTTTTGAAAAAACAGGCAAACATTTCACACTTATGTACTTAAATTTTATTTCTTCATAATTACAGGCTATTGTTAGAATTTTTAAACAAAAGTCTATAAATAGAGGCTAATCCCACCTGAACAAGTTTCTTTAAAAAAAAGTTAAAACTTCATAAGTAATGCCATTTAGCTCACAGCAGTGGTTTGTTGGTAGTCTGAGTAAAAGTACTATAGTCAGAGTCAGTAACATGAAATGTAACATCAAATGACTCAAAACTTTAAATTCCATAAAGGAAAGCAGGAATATATATATATAATATATACATAATAATATTGTGTTGGTCCACTGAGTATACATTTTTAACAAAAGATAAGAAACTATGTAATCCAGTTAAGCATATGATTTGCAAGATTAGTGTACACTCATTACAAAGATGTATAGATAAGTTACAACGATTTAATCCTTGCAAAATTTTAAGTTACCTTTTTGAGCAGGTGGTTAAATGCTCATTTCCCAGTGCAAAAGAAAAAACCTCTCAGTCTGGTTACTCATTTTCCTGAAAAATTGAAAACTATCAAACTCTTTCAACAGCAGCATTGATAGGTAATAGGAAGAGCTTAAATATACTGAAGCATGGCTGAGTTCTCCCCCCCTACTCAGTGCTGTGCGTTGAAACTTTTCCATTTTCTCAACAGAAATACCACAAGTTAAAAGTGCAAGAAAAATCTCTTGATGCTTATGCTGTTGTCATCCATTTGTCTAAGATAGGGCAAAAGATTATTCTTTTTGGAATTTTAATGAAATTGATTCTCCAGAATGGAGTTCTTTCCAAAGTGAACAATAAGTTATTTTCATTAAGTTATTTTCATTAACATTCTATCAATCCTACTCAGTGACCACAAAGAAATTCAGTTTAAGGTGCAACTATCAGTTGGCATTTCAATAAATTATACATACAGGAAAAAAAAAAATGTGGTTTAAAAAAAGTCAGACTACATGTTTTCTTTCTATTCTCAATCCCATTTCAATTTCAATTTATCATCTTGCCAGTTCACCTGCATATTTCACAAGCAAAACTGGCTCAAATAGCTGTGGGTTCTTGTAATTTGACAGTCATCTTGGCCAACAGCAAACGCACATGAATCTTCCATGTAATTTCTTTATAAAACAAAATAACTGGTCTTAAAACCTATGGCCATGCAAGAAAAGCATTAAAGGTTTCAGTAAGACACACACTTTTTTTTTTTTTTAAACTTAGACTCTATGAAGATTCTTATTGCAAGTCCAAACATAGAATCTTCAATGAAGAGAAAAATCTATATGCATACATATAAAATGAAGCACTCCACAACTCTGGCATTACTAATATCTTTAGAAGAAGGATAAAAGGTTTCAAATGGCTAACTGCTTGACAGGAGACAGCCAGCCATGGCAAAATAATTGCTATGTTCACTTTATGCTCAATTACCAACTGCTGACAGATTACAGTCAAACTACAATCTCATTTGCTGCATTTAAAACTGATTTGCTTACAACTGGGAAAAGTTCCTTGTTCTCCTGAAAACTTGAGAGGAATTGAATGCTAAAATTAAGTTATTCGAACAAAAACAAACAAAAGGATTGAATTTAGCAGAAACATTCACACCACTTTCAGAAGTTTAAAACCTTTCTTATTTTCCTGTATATACGTATTTTCTGATTAACATTTAAATAGGTTAGGTATTCAGGAAAAGGGACAAAAGCAGTTGACGTAAGACAAATCTTATTCTAAGCTTCATGCTTCTGATATTTCAGATTTACTGAGTGCAATAGCCAGTTCCAAGTCTTCTTGCTCTTGCTGTTTTAGTCTTGCCAATCTTTCCTTCTCTTCTCTCTCACTTTCCCTCTTAGCCCATTCAATCATGTCTTCCTCAGTAGAATACTGCATTTTAAAAGACAAAATAACCAGATTAATAATGCAATAACAAATCCTGTTCTTGGCTTAAGTGACAGTTACAGTTTTTCAAAAATACTGAACACACTCTAGCCTTCAGATTATTTGTGTTTTATTCTCAGCATGCTATTACTATTAGCCTAGCTCAAGGTTTAACCATCAAGAAATGCACTGAAGATATCCTATTGCTATATTGTGTGTTTTTTTGTTTTGTTTTGTTTTAACAAAATACATTGAGTTTCAAAATTCATTAGGTTTCTAAACAGTTACTGGAGAAACAAGTACTATAATTTAAATGCAAACTGATTTGGATAAAAGCCAGCCTATGCAAGAAAAAAAAAATGAATAAATCAGGAGACAGATTGCAAAATAAACCCATATCCAGCACTATGGAACACCCTGATTAATCCTACTTTCATTAGGGATGGTTATTCCAGATGACAGTGACTGTAAAAGTTAGCTGTAGAACGACTCTTTATTTGTGCAACTGAAAAACACTTCTGCCAAGGAGAATATTAAGGTAACTGCACAGTTAGAAGCCTAGCAATAATACAGAGAAAGGTGTGACACGAGGAAAAGAAAAAACAGATTAATTCTACATACTTAGACGAGAACGGTATGTTAATTGAATCGCTGTGGTACAATGATTGTTAAGTCAGAAACAGTTAGGGTATTATCATAAAACACAAAAGATTATGCTAAAGTTTGTTTCTATTCTGCATGCAGGAAAAAGCAGAGGTAGGTGAAGCCCGCGTCTTCATGAATGCCCCCGTGTTAAGTCCTAAAAGTTATCACTATATACTACAGTTAGTTTCTGCTTTCGCACTGCTTCTTTAAGGAATAAACACAGAAAAGCTTGAGTTTTCTGC